GTTTTAGAGGTTAAAAGTATTTTAATCTTAATAGTAATTTAGAGGTCAACTGTGATTGGCTAATTTTTTATCATGATGGTTTAGAACCAAATTGTATGTGATTTATTGTAAGTAACATTTGTAAATTGATATTTTATCGTCATTTAGATTAGTTTATTGTAAAAATCCTGACGATGCAAATAGTTGCGAAAACGTTCGAAATTTACTTTTTGGCAAAAATTTCTGTTCTTTTTATGATCGATAAAATTTCGAATGCGAAACTGCATTTTCGTACATTCTGGTCCAATGTCACATTTGGCCACTTGTATAATTGGCTGTCGCAGAGCCAAATAGGATGCTTTTGGCTCTCGCAGAACGACAAAAATTTTTTTTGGAAGTTTTCACGTAGGATGTGGTACTTAACGTTGGATGAAGCCTGAGTTTATGGGTTGTCATTGCAAGCCAGCTCACTGAATTCTTAGTTATCATTTCGATATCTAGAAATGATAACTGAAAATTTAGTCCCAAAATATTTTTGGTTTTTTCTTCAAAACGTACATGTCTAAATCGAAATTATGACTCAGAAACTTCCAGACAAATTAATTTTAAAATGTTTGATTAATTTTAGAGGTTAAAAGTATTTTAATTTTAATAGTAATTTAGAGGTCAACTGTGATTGGCTAATTTTTTATCATGATGGTTTAGAACCAAATTATTTGTGATTTATTGTAAATAACATTTGTAAATTGATGTTTTATCGTCATTTAGAGTTGTTTATTGTAAAAATCCTGACGATGCACATAGTTGCGAAAACGTTCGAATATTACTTTTTAGCAAAAATTTCTTCAATTTTACCTGTAAATTCGTGATAAACCAAAAAGCGAAGAGCTTAAAATTCCAACTGTTTTCCCATTAAAGGGCCAGTATAAAATTTTTAAATGATTTTCATCAATGTATAGGGAACTTTTATAGTGTTTTTTTATCGATACGTAAAATATGGCCGATTTTTATTTGGGTTACCAAAATGTTTCATATTGTAGCAGCTAGCTCCCTGTTCCACAGCATCAACACCCTTAACACAGGTGAAAAAAAGCAATACGAGAGCCTTGTTACAGCAATTCCTGGCCTATTCCTTAATAACAACTTGCTGAACCAAGGAAAGAACCTCCGACTACTACTGGAAGACAGTCCACTGAAGGAGAAAAAAGTGGTTGTGTGGCACGACGTGGTGAACAACACCATTAGCAGCCACAGAACAAACAACTATCGCCCAGCCGGTGTCGAGGAGCTGACAAACTATTTGAAGACGAAGAAGCAGCAGATATTGGCGATCGTTTATTGCAGAAGGGAAGGAACGCCCGACTTGTTTAGTCAGCTTCTCGGCACAGGGGTGCTCATTATTCCAGCTACAAAACGACTACTCTCCAAGAGCAAGCAAAACAACCCGGAGCAGCTCAAGGAATATTTGAAGCTGCACCAGAGTGCTGATTTGGAGCTGAAATCTCTGCGATTGGTAGTGGCACACAAAGAAAGGCTGTCAGAGCTGATTGGCAATATCAGGGGCAAACAACAGAGACCATCACAGACAAGGAGGAAGGCGAAAGCAAGACGTGAGCAGAAGCTGAGGGCAGAGGAAGTGTCTGCGCTTCAAAGACAGGGGTGAGAAGAGTGTGATTTGTTTTGATTTGTGCCTTGTGAGTTTCATTACTCGTGGCCTGCAAAACAATGACCACAGTACTTTTGCCTGCTGTTTGGCTCAGACAAATTTTGAAAAGGAAACTAACTTGGAAAATTGTGTTAGACTATTTAAAATTCTTTAAAAAAGTTCAAGTATCTGTACATAGACTGAAGTTTCTGAGAAAATGTCTGAAAAACGATCTAATACCGGACTTTTTGAAGTTTAGGGTCCCCGAGAACGGGGTTTTTTTGGACCAAGCTGTGCATAATTTTCAATTGAAACTACTAAGGACTGAAACTTCTAGGGCAAATGAGGATAGGAAAAGGTACGAGGAGATGCTAAGGAAAGCAAGATCACTGGTGCAAAAAGAAATTGACAAACAGTGGTGGGCATCCATTTTCCGATTCGTGAGGCGTTAAGTTGAGGCAAGCTTAAAGACAACATCAGAAAACCATAGAAAAAAGTTAGAAAAACTGTCCGAGAGACAAGATAAACCTCTTGGGGTAGAAATGAGCGATCAGTTAAGGTACTTGATAATATTGAACTGCCTGAATGGGTATATGAAGTGCTATCAATGGGCCCCAAGCATCCAATTAGAGACAAATTTAACGATACACATTTTTTGGCGGATATCGACATTTTCCTCTCACAATTGAAAAATCAAAAAACATCTGGTGAAACGTTATGTGAAATAGAAGCCGCGCCAAAGGCATATGCAAAAAACGTACGGCAAACCCCAAGAGACAAAGCCGTTGAAAAAACGAGGAATTATCTCAAAGATAATGGGTTGCTGGCTGTGCCTTTTGATAAGGGGGTTGGTTTTTGCATAATGAGGAAACAAACATATGAATCAAAGCTGGAATCCTTGTTGCAATCTGCTCAGTTTGTGAAAAAAGATGCAACCACTGATGAGGTCATACTGAAAATTGAGAAAAAACTTAACAAAGAATTACTAGCCATGAACAAAAGAGACGAGATAAGTGATCAGTTATATTCTAAGATGAGATCAACAGGGGGGCAACCCGCCCGTTTGTACGGTTTAGCTAAGGTACACAAGGATGAGACACCCCTACGACCTGTACTATCACTTCCCGGCAGCTCGTATGAGGTTCTTAACAAAATGCTTGCAAAGTTTTTGACAACATCGATGGAGCAAATATAGAAACCAATACTAAAGAGGCTAGAGAAAAAATAGAAAACATTGCTCTCAATCCGGATGAAACCATAATATCTCTTGATGTGAAAAGTTTGTACACCAACGTTCCCCTGAAGGAGGCAATTGAAATTGCTTTACAGAAGCTGTACAGCCAGGAGTCTCCTCCTGAAATTCAAAGAGCAACCATGAAAAGGCTTTTGAATATGGCGGTCAGCAAAGTATATTTCAAGTGTAATGATTCAAGGTATGTACAAGTTGATGGTTTAGCAATGGGCGCGTCCCTCGCCGTAATTCTGGCAAACTTATGGCTGAAAGAATACGAATTTGCTCTACGACAACAAATACCGGTGGGAACGGGGGTACAGCAAATTAATGACAAAAACGGCTTGTGCCCATGTTGCAGCAGGAAAGTCACGTATAGATCAAAGGGGGTTGAATGCGAGAGTTGCCGAAACTGGTATCATCAAAAATGCGGAAAAATATCCGATGACGTATACGCATCAATAACCGAGATAGTCTGGTACTGTGAAAGCTGCTGCCGAGCTAAGAACAAGGAGAAGGATACTCCCCAGGTGAAATCGTTCCTCAGGTATGTGGATGACATTGTTAGAACAGTCAGAGGGGAGCCGAGTTGTCTTCAGGATGCCGCCAATTCTCTTCATCCAAATTTGCAGTTCACTCTAGAGAAAACTAATTCGGAGGGGAATTTGCCGTTCCTGGATTTGAACATAAATGTATCGCAGGATAGGCGTGTAACTTGCAGTTGGTATCAAAAACCAACAGATACAGGGACTATACTGAACTATAGAAGCTGCGCCCCAACTCAGTACAAGCGTAGTGTTATCCAAGGCACTGTACACAGGGTTTTTAGGAATATATCTAGCTGGGAGCAATTTGATAAGGCTATGGAAACTAATAGGGCGCAATGGCTGACAAATCAGTACCCTGAAAATTGGTCCGCAAAGGTGGCTTCAGACGCCTTGTGCAAGATCATCGAGGGTAAAGGCAAGCCCCTGGATAGTGACAGGGGTTTGTCAGTTCAATCACCAAAGGATGAGAAGCCCCCAATGCTGATGGTGCAATATAGAGGTAACCAGAGCCAATATTTTGCTAACAGGTTACGAAAATTAACGAACGTTCAAGTGGTTTTCACCACAAGAAAACTACAATCATGTTTACCATCACTGAAGTCAGCCTTTTCTAATGACCTCAAGTCAAGAGTGGTTTATAAACTGCCATGTAGTGGATGCACTTCCACCTATGTCGGACAAACTGTTCGACATTTGACCACTAGAATTGAGGAACATAAGAAAGCAGACTCACCGGTAGGCCTCCACCTTCAGCAATGCCAACTTGAGGGAAATAGCGCAGATCTTAGTTGGGAAATTATAGATAGGTCAAACAACCAAACAAAATTGCTAACACTAGAGGCAATACATATCAGGAAAGAGAAACCGGGCTTGAACACGCGCGATGAGTTTAGGAGCAGGAAGTTAACACTGAAAATTTAGTCCCAAAATATTTTTGGTTTTTTATTCAAAACGTACATGTCTAAATCGAAATTATGACTCAGAAACTTCCAGACAAATTAATTTTAAAATGTTTAATTAATTTTAGAGGTTAAAAGTATTTTAATCTTAATAGTAATTTAGAGGTCAACTGTGATTGGCTAATTTTTTATCATGATGGTTTAGAACCAAATTGTATGTGATTTATTGTAAATAACATTTGTAAATTGATGTTTTATCGTCATTTAGAGTTGTTTATTGTAAAAATCCTGACGATGCACATAGTTGCGAAAACGTTCGAATATTACTTTTTAGCAAAAATTTCTTCAATTTTACCTGTAAATTCGTGATAAACCAAAAAGCGAAGAGCTTAAAATTCCAACTGTTTTCCCATTAAAGGGCCAGTATAAAATTTTTAAATGATTTTCATCAATGTATAGGGAACTTTTATAGTGTTTTTTTATCGATACGTAAAATATGGCCGATTTTTATTTGGGTTACCAAAATGTTTCATATTGTAGTAGCTAGCTCCCTGTGTAAAACACTGGTTTGTAGAACTTTAATTAAAACCCCACCGGACACATATCACTGAAATACAACAACAGAGTTAACATACTGTCACATATTCCCCAGACTTTCTTATTGAGTTCGCATGGATCATCAATGATCGGCGAATGGATTACTGAATATTGGAATAGTTGTCCAGTAACGAATTATCCAGCTGTGAACAAAAAGAGAGTAATGAAAATAACTCAAGAAAGGAATAACAAGTGCTATACGGAGACATTCTGGTGGCAAGAAAAATATTATCATGAGCAGTCACTCGATATAACTAAATACTTTTCTGGCCCAACATAAATTGTTGCAAACTTTCCGACGACTTTGGAGATAACTTTGTTAGGCAATCTGCCAATTCCTCGTCTGTAGGAACCCATTTTAACTGGTGTAGAATTCCATCATTGATCAAAGAACGCAAATACGCTATATCCACTCTCAGTCTCTTGTCTTTCTGAACTTTCGTTGAGAAAACGTTTTGCACTAGAGAAAGATTATCCGTATATGTTCGAATATTGACATTTTCCCCCGTTAACTCAGAAATAATCTTTTGACAAAGAAATGCAGCATCAACTGCATTTACACAAGAAATTGTTTCTCCGCATAAAGTGCTCCTGACAACACGTCTCAGTTTCTGAGACTTCCAGCTCAAAGGAGCAGGTCTTTTGTCAGACGCCTGTAAAAAGACCAAATAACCGGACTGGGTGCCACCACAAGGCAAATTTCCAAGAGAAGAATCGGTAAAAACGTTCAGTTTCCACTCATCTGCACTTCCAAGATTCTCGAACATCAAATATGAATCAGATGCAGAATACCTCAATTTTCTCACAATTTTATTGACAGCTAAGAAATGTGAGCGCTGCCAATCTTTGGACGAACCAAGCAATTGACATACTTGAAAAGACACATCAGGACGAACCTGTGATGCGACCCATTGTAACTTCCCCAGAATAGCACGCATATCACGCCTAGCAAACTTGTTGACCACAAAATCATGTTTTGGCACAATAATCTCCCGCAATTCTTCTACATACGAGGATAAGTCCAGTTTAATTCCTCTTTCCGTTTGCGATAAGTCAAACCCAAGATAACGAAATGGAGCTGTCTCTGTCGATCTGATGTCGAAAACCACGTCAAGCGACTTCATCACAGAATATTCAAACTGTTCGGTGCCAGCCCACAAAAAATCGTCAACATGGGTAGTTAACAGTCCAACTATTTCACCCGCTTGATTTTTCTTGTAAAACAAACACGGATCAAACTCTGAAACACAGCATCCTGTGGCCAATACTTCGTCTTTAACTTTATCATACCAGTGTCGAGCCGCGTCAACAAGCCCGTAAACGCATTTTCGTAATTTCCAGAGTTTCCCCGATAATCCAACTTCCGGCGGTGGCATAACATATACATCACGGGTAAGAGGTTTTCCTTGTAAAAACGCCGTTCTTAAATCCATCGAATTACATTTCCACGCCTTGGAGGCACAGAGTGATACTACTATCCTGAAAGTATCTTTGGAGCAAGTCGGAGAATCCTTTATGACGTTATGAAGATCTGGATCTTCAAAACCCCTAACTACGAGTCGTGCTTTCTTTCTATCTGGCTTCTGAGTGAGCACCCACTTGCAGGACAGATATTCTTGCCCTTCGTCGATAACTTCCTCAAATACTTCGTTTTTCTTCCAACTCTTCATTTCATCCATTTTCGCTTCAAAATAGACATCTGCAGTCGCGTTCAGAGCACTGACTTCTACATCCTCCAGTTTTGACACGTCAACGCAATCCAAATTCCCTTTAATTTCTTTGGGAGATTCATAAACAATATTCCACCAGTCTTTATGAACACCTGTCGACTTTCCTCCTCTGCTTTTGACAATCGCTTCAATTTCTTCTCCTTCAAACCCAGATTGGCGTGAAACAAAACGAATCCGTCGACCAGCGGCAGGTTTCAAGCACTCTCGTGATAAATCCTCAGAAATAGTCTCAGCAACGTCGTTTGGAACACAATTAACTGCTGTATCGCCTGGTACATCAATACGGAGTCCTTTTTCGATACCAGGTTCAATTGTAGCTGTATTTTCGCCTTCATCATCAGTTTCATCAACAACAACCTGGCGATCAGCGTCTGTTGAACCACTGTCGCCAAAAACTTCCTTTTTCTCCTCGAATCCAGCTTCTGCTTCTGACATCTGTTGAAATTGATCTGCACATCGTTTCAATCGCGAAGTGTGTACTTTTACAACACGGCCACCATGTCGCACAAAAACAACACTACTTTCTTGACCGATAACTTTTGCAGGACCTCGCCATTTCAGTTCTCCGTCCCTTTTATAAAACACGCTATTCCCAGTAACAAATGGCCCTTTGTCAGTCACTACTTTGGCTTTGAGAGCCCGTCTGATGCGATTACTGCAATCAGCTTCGATAAATAATTTTCTAGACTTATGCAACGCATTCAAGTTTTGCGCTACAACTTCGCAAGTGGTCTCGCATTCCAAAGCTGGCAGTTTATTGGTAAGAACAGATGGGACATGCGGTCCAAAACCAAACGCGACTTGAAACGGTGAGAAGCCATCGTTGTTAGCCAAGCTATTTTTAGCAAAAACGGCATGCTGTAAAACAATATCTTTACTCAAAGAAACTGATTCATCGGCCAGTAATTTCTCCAGCATGTCTCTAAGAACTGCGTTGTGCCGCTCAACAACGCCGTTGGACCAGAGTGAAAAAGCTGCCGTAGTCTTCACGATAATATCATTATTTTGAGCAAATGATTGAAAATCAGCCTTGTCAAACTCACCACCATTATCAGTTAAAACAGCTTTCGGATATCCGTAAACCAAGCACCAACAACGAAGAAAACCTTCAATAATTGTACTCGGTCTTTTGTTTGTAATGAACACAGCTGCACTAACACGACTAAACAAGTCAATCACGTGTAAATACCACAAAGTGTGTCCCGACTGGGCCATCTCGTGCAAATCCATAGCCACAGTATTATTCCATTCCATACTGATAGGATAAGACACACTTGGCTTCGGAGTAGCTCGTCCGAACCTCTGGCAAACTTCACAGTCACGTACGACTTCAGCAACGGTGCAATTCACTACTTTAGCACCAGATTTAGCTATTAGCTTCTCTAGTCTGGTCGAACCACAATGAGCAAACTGACGATGTAACTTCATAACTTGCTGAGAATTCAAATTACCAGAACTCAGGCAACAGAACTCTTCATTTCCAAAACTGATATCCAGCAACAAATGTCCAGTTTTCGAACATTGTAACTGGATTTTTCCTCCATCTGATGTACTCAACATACTGGTGTGAAAATCAATACTAAATCTTGCTTTAGTCACCGACGCAACACTAATCAATAACGGCAACTGACCGGGAATAACCAATACTCCGAGAAAACAAGTAACATTGCCGATTTTAACAGGTATGAAACACTTATGTTCAACTTTGATCCGCTCACCACCACCGAACACAACATGGGTATCGACTTTTTCACGCTCAACTAAAGCTTGTAAATAATCCGGCAACTGGGAAATATAGTTTTCCATCCATACTTGTCCAGACACAGTTGCAGTACACGCTGAATCTAGAACCGCCTTGCCAAACGCTTCGTTCAGAAGAGCAGCAGTGAGCATCGCAAAATTCAAGAAAACTGTCTCATCTACCTTTTCGTCTTCTTCTGTTTCTGCCTGTGAAGCAAAAACTTGTTTCTCTTTATCAGGGCACTCACGAACCCAGTGGAACCGTGAACCACAGTTGGTACAAACACTGATTTTTCCAGTACTTCTATCCACGGGATTTGACCCAGCTGTATTTCGACGTCCAGAACTTCCACCCCTGAAAGAACCACGAACTCCTCTTCCTCTCCGTGGTCCCCCACGGTTTTGCCATCCTCCTGGTTGAAAACCACCTGTTGCAGCAAAAACCGGTTCATCTTTCACAACCGGAGCACACGAGTTCCTCTGAGAAACTTCAGTGGAAAAAATACGCTTCAAACTCTTTTTCATGTTAACAAACTGGATGTCTCCTGTCGCCGACAAAACCAACTTTTTATCGCGATCATCCAAACCAGCACAATGTAATAGCTTGCAAGCTAAGATACCATCAGGTTATTCCAACCCATGTTTCACTAATCGTTGATTCGCACTCTCGAAAGCGGTGATGTAGTCATTTATAGGCATACTGTTCCGTTGAATAGTCTCAAACTTCTCATAATCCGAAAATAACTGGTCTGCAGTATCCTTCCCAAATGATAACTTCAACTGCGCAAGAACCTTAGTGAGCCCATCATTAGCTTTCAGTTCATCAAGTGGAATAGACATGGCAATCTCACGTTTCGAACTACCAAGTGATAAAGCCACACAAGGGCCTTTCTTCCCGTCAGCTAAATCTGTGATAGCATTCCAAACATCCACTTCTGTCTTCCATGCTTCAAAAGACATTTCATCTTTCCATTGCGGCGGGGTTTTATAACTCGTATTTGCCATCGTCTACCTCCTGCTACCATGTAAAACACTGGTTTGTAGAACTTTAATTGAAACCCCACCGGACACATATCACTGAAATACAACAACAGAGTTAACATACTGTCACACCCTGTTCCACAGCATCAACACCCTTAACACAGGGGAAAAAAAGCAATACGAGAGCCTTGTTACAGCAATTCCTGGCCTATCCCTTAATAACAACTTGCTGAACTTAGCAAAAATTTCTTCGATATCTAGAAAGTTTCTACGATATCTAGAAAGTTTCTAGGATTTTGACTGGAATATGTGATGACTCCTGATTGAAACCTCGGTTACTATGATACTCTTGACCTTCTGAGTATCTTTAATTTCTTTAACCAAATGAAGTTTTCGCAAAGGGTAATACTGTTGAAGGGGTAATGGTTTTTTGGAATGATTGAAACCGAAGAACCTAATGCCAAAAAAGCCAGAGTTATGAATCTGGATGATATTCTGAAAGGTGTTTTTGAAACAACTGCAGATGATGACGACGGAACAGAGTGCCTGGATAAGCTGAACTCGCTGACGGAAGATTTCCAGAAATTCGGGTTAGTGTCTGTACATTGCGGAAAGTAGTAATATAAATTCAATGCTAGCAAGGTTTTTTAATCAAATTTTGAGTAATTGCATCAAACCAACAGCATCGACTGTGTACAATACTTAGGTTTGTACATTTTTAATAATAAGTTACCCAAAAGTGTACTATATGTAAACTATATGAGCGTCACCGCGTTTCATAGCTAAAAAATTGCTCCCTTGACACCAACATTAAAAGATTTTTGATTGACACCGACTCGTAAGTTAGCGATCAATTTTAATTCCTAAATATCCCGATGACTAATCAATTTTTCGATTTGTTTTGTATCTAAACGCGCACACAGCAGAGAAATTTAAGTTTAAGATTGATTATCGTTTCAAATTCAAAAAAAGTAAATTGAAAGGGGACTTTCCGTCATTCGGCAGTCCGTTCACAATTTAGAGGTAGGATAAAGCCTGAATTTATGAATTTGCAGGTTGGGTAAAGCCTGAATTTATGGGTTCAAAACGAAACTCATGGAATGCATTTCTATGTAAACATATTGTATGAGATTAAATGACAGTTCTGTAAAATTCTAGTGTAGAAATAAGTATTGCCGCTAAAAACAACCTAAGTTTAATATCAAGTATAACGAAAAAAGTGAATGTTAATCGCCATAGTTTACACAAAATAAAATACGAAATAAGAACTGAACTCTTGAATTGAATAAGAATTGAAGTCCTGATTTCTTTTGATATAATTGTAGTATGTCGGCGGTTTTTGGATCTGAACTGTGTTGTTGATATGTTTGTTCCAATCTTAGTCGGCTCGTTGTTTCACAGGTTTTTGCCGTTCTTAAAGAAGTACTTCATAAGTCTCTTGAAGTTTGCACGAAATTTCAACGCCCATCAGAACGTTGCAACCCATCTAAAGTTCGTTATTAAAAAAAAAAAAGATACCCAATTATCTATCCTTTCAAAACCTTACTCTATGGAAATTTTGTATGAAAACTTTGGGTAGAAAGAAACTAAAACTCCAGAAGACAAAGTTCTTCTCCACTTTCTCCAGTCATCTCCGGATGCAAAAAAAAACAATTACATTCAAAGAAACATTTGGAGAGAAAATGCAGCGGCCTCAACCGAGCCAACGACCACGATGAAAATTTCAGCTGCATTCGCTGCACCTCCCTGATTACAGACAACACTGCAACTGACATTCAAGCCCCTCCAACTCAACCTCAACAAGCTCCCTCGACTAACGATCAAAATCCTGTCATTGCAAACAGCAACGAAACTATAACAGCCACACCCGACCCCTGGTCAAATCCCACACCTGAACTAAAAGATAAAATATGAACAATCTACAGGCAAGTGCACTGGAAACCAGTCTTCATGATCCTCGCAAAAAACAGAATTGGGTTTAACTTTAGAGAAACTCTTAATAGAACCCTCAACTCGTTAATTAAAACACAAGAAAACACATAAGCAATGCATGCAACAATGATATTCCCTCACCTCATGCTATGTAAAACCAAATCAGAGAGTGATGGTTCGAATTCCAAAACTATAGCAAGAAGGCTTAACAACAACAACAGAAAGACTTAAATTCCTTCCATGAAGGTATAAAGAAATGTAATAACAAAATCAAGACGTACAAGTAGAACAATTACAGTTAATAAACCAAGAGCACGAGTTTTGCATTGAGTATGCATTCGCTGTGATATTGAATAGAAATGTTTTAATGTTTCTCCTGAAGGTAGCGGGACTATCATAAATGTCGATTCCAAGACCAGGATGGGCGAGAAAATGATTCGCAAGTTTCACCACCCGATTAAAGAAGGACTCCCCAGTTCGTCGTTTCCTATTGCGTCGGATCTCAAACATAACTGTATCGGAGGATCGGTGACCGGTCATTTCCGGTGCATAAGAGACAAAGTGGAACAAATCAAAATCTAATTTGTCGTTGAAGTTTGTTGAAAAGGGTGAGATCATTGAGTTGGTGGATGAGAGAAATAGGCAACATATTTGTCACACGGAGTAGAATGTTGCAAGGAGCTGTGTAGTTGCGTGTACTCCATCTGAGCGCTCTACATTGGAGCGCTTCTAGCTTGCGGATACTGGTAAGGTCTGGGAACCAGGTTTGAGAAGCATAAAGAATAACTGAGAGAACACATGACTTATAAAGTTGTAGTTTGGCAGTGGTGGGGCAGGTAATTGGGATGTTTTTTTTCAACACGAACAAACTCCTGTTGGCTGAAGCTAACTTTTTTTCAATATGCGGTCTCCACGACAGATCATCGGCCACCCATACACCAATGTCTTTGATGCAAGAGACGGTCGATATCTGATGATTTGCAATTGTGAGTTGATGTGTCGTCAGTTTTTCCGAATAACATCGTTTTACACTTGTCTGGGTGAAAAGTCATTGAGTTCTCGATAGACCAAGCGAGGAAATTATCAATATCGTGTTGTAGATTCTTTGCTATGGGTGATTCTGTCGAAATCATTTTGCTATCATCGGCAAACAGAAATCAGTCGGAGTATTTACAGTAGTCTGGGAGGTCATTAATGAATATAATGAATAACAACGGACCTAGGACGCTCCCTTGAGGAACACCACTAGTAACCGAAGCAATGTAAGAGAGAACCCCGTTAATGTTCACACATTGAGTTCTGTCAGCGAGGTAACTCCGGATGAGTTCAATGAAACTTGGGTCGAGGCCCATTTTTTTCAGTTTGTGCAATAAAACGACATGAGGCACTTTGTCGAATGCTTTTTGAAAATCGAAGTATACCGCGGAGGGCTTCTTATTGTTCTCAAGTTGATTGTAGATATTGTCAAGATAGGCTAGTAGTTGAGTAACCGTGGATCGATGTTTTCGGAAGCCGTGTTGTTGCTTGGCCAACTGCGACTTTATTCTAGGATAAAGAAAGTTGAAAATTAGTCGCTCCAGAATGATAGAGCCGAGGTAGAATGCTAATGGGGCGATAATTGGAAATAAGAGACCGATAGCCATCTTTGAAGATTGGTGTTATGTAACTGCATTTCCATGTAGTGGGCCACACACAAGAGGATAGAACAAAGGAGAAAAGAATGTAAGCAAAAGGGGCTAATACTGCTGAGGCGTTGTGATACAGGCAGGACGGAAGGCCATCGGAAGACTGAGAATGTGAATCAGGGCATTTCGACAAGAGTGTTTCAACTTTTTTTACACCGAAGTTTAAATCATTCAGAAATATTCTGGGTTGTTGGTCACCAGGTGGTTCAGGATTATCTGTTGTAATTGGATTAAACACGGAAGCGAAAAATCCATTGAAAAGATCGGCTTTGTTCCGGTCATCTGTTGCGAATTTAGTTTCCTAGGTGAGTTTAGATGGCAGGGGGCTTTCCCTGAGAATCGTTTCAGAAACTTAAAAGCTTCTGATGTAGACATCCAGCAGATGTCTTTTAGCAGAACGACTTTATCGAGCTCTGCCGACTCGAGAAAATTGTTTCTTGTAGCGTGTAGGAACTCTTCATTGAAGATTGAGTTCAATTTGTGCTGCTTCCTCTCCAAGGTTTCTAGTTTATTAAGCATGTGCATTGTGTGAGAGGAATAATTAAAAGGCCTAGTGGCTCGTTTCTTGCGTTTACGAGGGACCGTAGAAGAAAGTGCATTGTGGACCATACTAGTCCATTCTGCACTAAAATCATTCTGAGACATACAGTCAATGGCCTGTGCCACACGAGTAATGGGTGGGAGGGATAGGGCGAAACGTTCAGGATTGAAGGAGCTCCAGGCTAGCTGTTGGTTGGAGATGACGGCTGTATTGTAGTGGCTTTTCGAGAGTTGAAACAGTACACCAGCATGATCTGATAGGTTGCTCCATTTCGGGTTTTCGATGTGTTCTATTATATCAGTGTTGGTTAATAGTATAATATCCAGAAGATTGCCTTGTTTGTGGGTCGGGAAGGACAGAACTTGTTGGAGATTATTCTCCTGGCACCAGTTAAGGAAAGGAAGGTCAACAGCTTTGGTTGATTGAAGTTTTTAACGAGGGAAAAGCTCTGCAACTGCGCTTGGCGAAGAGTAAGAAAAGAAAGTAGAAACTAAAGCACAGCTGTTTAACAAATTATTGAGCACTGGAAAAATATCGAGTGCTATTGCTAAGTTAACTGATACCTCCAAGGGAGTTCTCACTCGAGGAAACCGTCTATGGTCAAACTGTTGAGCTAAATTAACTGATACCTCCAAGGGAGTTCTCACTCGAGGAAACCGTCTATGGTCAAACTGTTGAGCAAGTCCTCATCAAGAAACACCTTCCCGCGGAGCCAGTAATCAGCTACCATATATCATGCTCCGAAGATACCATCCCTTTCCACTCATCCACATTCGGCCAAATAAACGCCCAGAAAGTTTGGAAGGCTGCCATGACAACACATGGTTCTCATGGACCCTAAGGTTTGGATGTAAATGAGAGGAGATGCATACTAACGCACTTTGGTCAACAGTCAGTTGAAATATCAATTACACTAGCCAAAATCGCACAGAAAATATCGACAGAAATACTAAGTCATGAGCTTCTTGAACCATATGAGGCCTATCGACTACTTCCACTTGATAAAAACCCGGGAGTTAGGCCAATCGGCATAGGCGAAGTCATAATAGGTAGAACGATCACAAAGTGCTTAAAAAGCGAACTTATGGTACTCGGATCGAATTATTAACTATGCCTTGGTCAAAAATGCGGCATCGAATATGCAATTCATACGCTTAGGAAGCAATACGAGAAAACAGATTCCGATGCTATATTACTGATATACGCCGAAAATGCATTTGACTCCCCAAACTGGAACCTGGCTTTAAAAACATTGCAAATATATGCCCTTCTATACTACCCGCTATACAGAGCTCATACTCTAATCCATCCCAACTCTTAGCAAATAAAAAATTAATCCTATCTAGAGAAGGAACCACATAAGGAGACCCATTAGCAATGGCAATGTACGGGCTAGCCACTTTACCTTTAATAAAACTAGTCAACGATAAAAGCCTAACACAGAAATGGTTTGCATACTGTGAGAACGCAGCCGGAAATTTGAAAAGCCTGCGAAGAGTTCTTGACAACATTATCAAACACGGAAAATATTTTGGATATCATTTAAAGGCATCGAAATGCCAGCTCATTGTAAAAGATGAAAAATAATCGAGAATACCGCAATTGAAATGAAAAAAGGGGCCAGAATACTTGGTTCTGTAATAGGATCCGAGACTGAATGTGAAACTTTTTTAGAAACTCAGTTATAAGAACATATTAAAATACTGAAAAAACTTGGCAAGATCGCGAAAACATCACCAGAAAACGTGTACTCCTGTTACACCAAAGGTTTACAAGAAAAATCGTTTTTAGCTAGAACTACCACCAATACCACAGAAAACATGCAGGCCTGCGAGAAGATACCGCAGGAAAATCTCATTCCAAATTTAATTGGTAAAGATAATATCAGCCATCAGCATAGAGACATCGCTTCTTTGCCACTGAAAATGGGTGGTCTAAATATCAAGCTACCTTCTAACTATGAGAAATTTTTAGAATAGTCAATTGAAACATCTTCAGTCCTAGACACATACGACCCATTGACAGCTATATGTGAACAAGAAAAATCTAAAACACTTAAAACTGAAAGAACAAACCAAAAGAGAACTAACATTTTGAACAACTTGAGCGACAATGAAAAATACGCGCTTAAGTGGGCCTCCGAAAAAGGAGACTCAAACTGGTTAACTGATTTGCCACTTAGCAGATATAATTTTAACCTGAATGAATCCGAATTCCGGGATGGAATATATCTCAGATATGGATGGGAACCAACCAACATTCCACTCACACGTGCATGTGGTCAATCTTTTGACTTTACCCACGCTCTTCACTGTGCAAAAAGTGGATACACTCACATGAGTCATAACGAAATCAAAGATACCTTTGCCAACCTCATGAGCGAGGTTTGCTTTGATGTTGAAATCGAGCCGAAACTTCTGTCGTTGCAAGGCGAGAGCTTTGTCATCAATTCAACCACACGTGATGAAGACGCTCGACTAGATGTAAAAGCAAACGGGTTATGGGGCTCAAGGTTTAGCCGAACCTTTTTTGATGTCAAAGTCTTCAACCCGCACGCAAAAACTTCATGAAGACTAGTGAAAGACGTCTATAAGTACGACGAATCACTAAAAAACTAAAATACTAACAGAGTTCTACAAGTCGAACAGAGCAGCTTCTGGCCGCTCATTTTTGGCTGCACTGGTGGTGCCGCACCAGCAGCTGCTCGGACAATGCAGCTTATAGCTGAAAAAATAAGTGAAAAAAGGCATGAAAGCTACGCAGAAACAATAAACTACATAAGAACTAAGATAAGCTTCGCGCTGCTCAGGAGCGCTATCCTTTGTATACGGGGTTGGAGATCATTGCGTAAAATGCAATTCATAGACAAGTCAATTAGTGCTGTTGTACAGGAGCGACGGTTGAAGTAAATACTTTTAATGACAATGCATTAAATGCTGACTTGACTTAATTCCTGCAATATTGTTTTTTGATGTATTTATATAATGCTGGTATGGGCCCTATCCAGCTTGTGCACGACCGTACCTAAACGGAAGGGCCCTTTTTATAATTTACCTTTTGCTTTGATTCAAACGTAAGGTATGTATCCTACAGTCCAAAGCATTTCTATTTCATAAAACGAGTATACGAATAACCACAGGGTTTAATGTAAACAGCCGTGATTTTAATTCCTGCTGTAAGTTTTCTTTGAAACGCTCTGTCAGCATTGAAAAAAAGTGATCTGAGTGTTTAAACGGTGTTCTTTTTGCGAAACTATCGGCTTCTGTCAATTTGTTTTTTCTTCAGAATATCAACTCAGCCCGAAGAAGAAAAGAAGAGACAAAGCATTGCTATTAAACCATTAGAACTGCGAAAGTATCAGGAAGAACTATCTGCAGCTGTCTGTTCAGACTCAAGACCTAATACTCTGGCAACATGCGAAACAAACTCCGGGAAGACTTTGGTAGCAGTGCATGCTATCGAAACATGGCGCCAGAAAAACCCGAAACCATTGGGAAAATTTGCGTTCATAACACACACAGTTGCATTATGTGAACAACAATATGAAATAGTTTGCAGTTATATATCGAGTGATTTTGTTGCAATTTGCCATGGGGAAACTACCACTAGTCAAAACGTCTTTCTGCATCCTGACTATGAAAAGGCATCCAAGTTGAAAAAAGAAGTTTTTGTGTTCACTGCGCAGACTTTTGTCAATCTACGGCTGAAAGCTAAATTTGAACTCACTGATTTCACTTTGATAGTATTTGACGAATGTCATCATACTGATTTGAAACATCCATTCAATGAAATTATGCTGAACTACTTGGCTTTGAAGTTTGACGAAAGAACTGAAAAGAGCAGTTTGCCTCAGATTCTTGGCCTGACCGCGTCACCAACCGTGTTTGAAAATACCATCTTGGATGAAGAAGATGCAAGAAAAAATTTGGTTTTGTTGCTGCAAAATATGGACATCACTGAACTGTCTTCTGTAGTCGAACAAATGGAAGACTTGAGGAGTTATTGTGAAGTTCCAGAAGACAACATTCAGCTGATTGAAATTGGAGGTAAATCTGAATTCGAAAAGAACGTCGAAAAGTTAATGACAACTCAGCTCGAGCTTTTACGTCGTGCACACCAGAACTTCAAAAAAGAAATCTTGGCAAGTAAACCGTCGTTTTTGCTCGATTTAACAGCGTGCCCTCAACCTTTAGAGAGCCAAAAATTTGAACAGTGGATTCGAGAAATATCAAAACTTAACTCGAATCACCCAAAATTTCAAGTTTGTCTGACTTTTGTATCTCGACTTCTAATTCAGCTGAATATAATTTTAGGGCTCTGTCAAACTATCGACTATTCTATCTTGTATGAAAAAATCAAAAGTGTGTATGAAGGTCTTTTGTCTCCTAACGACAGCGATTCCGTGAACCCAGAATTACAAGAACTGTACGATACCTTCGACAAGGTATTTAGTATTCTTGATAAAGAACTAGAAAAGTCTGCCCGAATGTCGAGAGAAAATAACGATCATAAAATGATGAATGTTCTGAAAGATACAATTCTGAAAGAGCTTCTAAATGACAATGAAAGTGGTGACAAAGTTCTAAATAGAGGCATCGTTTTTGTTCAGAAGAAAACCGAAGCGGAAATCCTGAAAAATTGGGCTGCTAGTGATGACGATTTCAAAAATATCTTGAAGCCTGAATTCATCACAGCCGATACAAAGAACCAAAGGGAGCTTTTGGAAAACTTTCGGAAAGGCAGTTGTCGGCTTTTGTTTGCGACTAGTGTAATTGAAGAAGGTATTGATATACCAGATTGTAAGCTAGTTGTTAATTACAACAATCGAATAAATCATATTCAGCAGTTACAGCAACGAGGTCGAGCTAGGATGAATCACGGAAAGTATTACGTAATCTCGTGTTCGATGGTATTTCACGAACTAGCTACTGCCAATCAAAAGCGTCAAAAGTTGACTGAAATCGCGGTCGCAAAGATAACCGCAGAAATGAAAAATCAAACCAAGAAAGCTACCATGCTACAGGAAATGTCAGCTCACCAGAAAGTGGCGGTTGAGAAATTTAAACTTAGTAAAATGGAAGCAAAAAGCAAAGAATTTGATGGTCATTTGTTTCAGTTTCATTGTAAAGAGTGTACAAAAGAGGTGTTCAAATCTAGCGAAGTTCATTTGTTTAAAGGGACATTTAGAATTGTGTTAACTCCTGATTACGCCAAAAAGTTCAGAGAACAGAAGTATACAGTTGCCCCAAAAACGCAGAAGTACTTCGAATCACAAAACATACAAAGCAACAAATTACTGTATTGTTTCAATTGTAAAAACAAACTCGGACAGCTTTTCAAGTATGGCTTTTGTGGACTGATTAACCCCTCTATTAACCAATACCTTCTAGAACATTCGTCGAATTGTGAGAAGTGTTTGACTGATTTCAAGAGGTTTGAATCTCGTCCGTTTAAAAAGTGGGATTTGGTGCCATTCAATCAGTACGATATGAAAGCAGGAGACGTGAGGAAAAATTATGTGGCGCTTCAAGAGTTGGGACAAGAAACAAACGTGTTTCAGAATTTAATCGATAATGCTGGACCATTATGAAGAGATCTTGCTATGGATCCAGAAAGGAACTGACGCCTCATGAAAGTACCGTTTAGTTGCTTATTTAATTAGGTTTTTCTTTTTGCTTTAATTAAAGTGCCGTTTAATTGATTTTTTAAATAGGTGTTTTTAGTTGAATTGATTGCCATGAGTTTTGACAAATGTTTCATTTTCTGATTATGCTGATCAAGGATTGTATCTAAGCTTTCTGTTGTGTTAGCCCTCTTAAATTCCCCTAATGATTTTTTTTCCAGAAAATTTGAATCAAATGTGTTTCTTTTTAATTGAGTAAATTAATAATCTAGTTCTGTTAAAGTTCTATCTGCTATAGTGTTTGAAACACGATGTAAGTTACGTTAATTTCGTCAATTATTGTTCCGACCGACCGGAAAAAAATATTTTATTTGCCATAAATTGAGCATAAGTTGTGGTTCTGAAACTTAACGTTTGTTGAGGGTTATGAAATACTTACTTTCGAGTCGCGTTTCTTCATAACACTGCCCAATCTCCGTTAACCGGACCTTTGTCTGAGTTTTTTCATTTTTTAAATCGCTGGATCACGCTAAATTAGTCTATACTACAACAGGCAGCATGATTCTTAACTCTTATATCATATTCGATTGTAAGCATACTGGAGGAGAAAAGTATCGTAGCTAGATAAAGTAAAACAATTGAAGCGAAACAAATAATCGATCAATTGCATTTAAAAGTTCTGTTACGCAACGTTGTTTCCGTTTTTTTGACACCTCAATAAAGAAATTGATCTATTGTGAACACATTGCTAGAGTTTCATTTTAAAAATTCAAACAAAAAGTTCTTGAAGCAAATAAAGCATTCTTTTAATGATGAGATTGTAAGTACATTAAAAAGAATCTTAATTTTTGAGCGTCATGATTGCAGTGAATGCTCTTTTATAGGTCTTAGTGATTTTTTTTTGGTTTTTTAAGAAAAAGTTAAAAAATTTTCACGCTAAATTTTAATTTTTCGCGGTTTGATTTCTTTTTAATTTCAGGTTGATTCCATTGTTTTAACAGGAAGGCAAATTCCACTATTGAACAGTAAAAGTATAAACGTCATGAAAAACGTGATCAACTTCTAGTTAAGAAAGCGGAATTTATTTTACAGATTTCGTACCGGAATAAAAAATTATACCGATTGATCCAGTTTTCTCAAATTGAGTTCGTTTTATTAAAAGATTGTCAATCATAAACGGCCTTTATGTCCATTTTCCAACTCTTTGTTGGCTATATTTCCATAGTTAACTAATATCACTCAAAATTTCTAATAACCTAATCATCGCAATTCATTTTTAGTTTGATCGAGCCACTTTCCAGCTATCACGAAATATTCATTCTGGCCGCCTCATAATTTGAGGAGACCAAGCACACTAGCTGAGAGTACTACAAAAGGTCAAACTCCATCAGATACGGGGAAGCTTCTAATTTTCTCCGGATTCTGAAATCACAAGTCAGCCCACTTTGTGCTAGCCTCAATTGTAACCAAGACAATTGAACGGATCGAACATACCATGATCTCAACAATTATTCCGCAGACCAATCTTTCTAGCTTCAGTTACTATTTCGGTAGCTCAGCTTCATTGATCAGTTTCGATGTACTGCCCATGACAGTAAGAGCCTATCATCGATCGATTCAGAAGCTGATGTATTGCAAGGGCTGTTTGGCAAGTCATGTCTCAAATTTTCTAGATGCTATAATCAAATCAAGACCACAACAATTTCGGGTGATACCGAAGACACTTCCGCTCACTCCATTGATGCTGTTAATTGGCTTAACATTAAGCCATATGCCCATTGTAGCTGCTCCTACTATTGCTGAGCGTAATGAAGATAAGAATTGCCCTATAAAATTGTTGAACTACTGGCAAAAGCTAACTGCATAGTTCTGGAAAAAAGCAGATTTGAGTATTTAGCCCTTAGGTAACAACGCAACAAGAGTCGTGTAGAAAAGCAAGTTTGAAAAATGGAGAACTAGTATACAAAACCGAAGATGATAACACCCCTCTTAGCATGGTCACTCGGATTCATAAATATGCGTATGCCGAAATGATAGTCTAGTGAGGATGGCGTGTGTTGAAACAGGGAGCAAGAAGTTTAGTACATGACCGATTCTAAAATAAGGTACCACAAATAATCATCGGAATGGGTCGAGTGATATGTCATAGTTAAGATTTTTCAGTCGTAATTCGAACAATATTAAAAAATTTTATGACTGTCGAATATGCCTAAATTCTTAATTTTTGCTCAGATCTTTTTATCTTACCTCGCAGAAAAAAAGACACTATTTTGAATGGTCGGAACATTCTTTGCTACTTGCACAGTAACCGGCTTTTTTTATTCGTTTTTTTAATTAGCCCCCGGCCTGCTCAGTGCAGGACCAACCGTGGGGGAGGGGGAGATGTCATCCATTTCGCCGCAGCCGGTCCCACCTTGAAGAGGCGGATGACACTGGGACCCCTCCAACCGTGACCCAAGCGAGATTAGAATGCATGACCCTCGTGTTGAGAGACATGTGCCTAACCCACTCGACCACGGCTGCTCCAGAGTAACCGGCTATCCTTGTTTGGTTTTGTCTTCTGTTACATCCTCATTTTCACAAGAGGTTAAAATGTAGCTCTGTCTCCTGCCCAAGCATCCAAAACACACTTAGTTTTTCTTCGCGTTTTAATCACATTTATCATTTTGTTGTCTGCACAGTTCTTATATTTGTGAGTCAACAGTCATCGTTAAATTATGGTTATGCAAGGTTATAGTCAATAAACTCGCTTGTTTTTTTGCAATACGTACCTAAACAATTTAGTTATCGCTTCTCTTTTATGACGTCAAAATCATTCAGCGGTCGGAACATTTTGGTTATACTTGTGCCGGATGTAAAATTTGAACCTCGTCTTTAGAACTACATCTGTGCTTTAAATTGTGCTTTAACTGTTACAGTGCTCTTTTTTACAGTTCATAGAATACGTTTATTTACCAAATGATAAAGAATATACTGCTAAAGTAAATCATCTAATTGCTCAAGCTTCTCTAAATAGTTTAAGTAATTTTATATTTTGAAAAATCAAACTTCATGAGCTATAGTTTTAGTTTCACAATGATTATTTGAATGTGTTTTGCGATTGGCAAGCTTGCTTTTAAGACACCCCTGACAACAACAGCCCCGCCCCTTACAAACGTCAGTTTTGCGGTGTAACTAGCTCAAGTGGGGTATGAAGACGAGCTGTGTCTAGAATTGGTAGCTATTTTAAATTCGAAAGTTTATCATAATTTGAAGGTGGCGAAAACTTAAACGGTTAATTTTTTAGTATGGGATTGAATAAAATAGTCTCACAAAACTTTTTTTGACTGTTGTGACTTTTAGAATTGCCTGATTTAGTTAACGAAGTTTAATGCTCTTAAAGATAATTCGCTATGGCCCCAATCAGGAAGAAGAAAGAGAAGCAACAGCAACTCTCGAGGTGTATGAAGAAGAAGAGTGTAGCGAAAGAGTGTTCCAGTCAGTCGACGAATGTGAGGTTCAACAAGGACTTTGGCCAGCATATTCTGAAGAATCCTCTGGTCGTTGCAGATATGGTGGAGAAAGCGGCACTGAGGCCTACAGATGTGGTGAGTTGTCTGTCCAAGCTTCTAGTCATCAATCTGAACTGAACTGCAGGTAGTCAAAAAAGAGAAACTTTTTTTCGTTAAAAATCAAGTGCCATCAAATTTCGTGAAATTTGGTCTGAAAATAAGGAAATTTCTGTCAATTTCTTCAAATTACTTTAGTATGATATGGCACTTGGCAACATACCAGCTTTCCTTGATTTAGTCAAAATCCGGACGAAAACCTTCAGCTTACGTCATAGTTTCTTCCCTTTTTTTCGTGAAATTGTCGGGACAGTAAGAGTTCAAGTGTTCTTTCTATTTGCAGGTGTTAGAAATTGGACCCGGTACTGGTAATCTGACAATGAAACTACTGGAGAAGTCCAAACAGGTCGTAGCGTGTGAAGTGGACCCCAGACTAGTGGCTGAACTGAGGAAGAGAGTACAGCCCACTGCCCATAGTTCCAAACTGCAGATCATAGTTGGAGATGTGATCAAGGCGGATTTGCCGTTCTTTGATCTCTGTGTGGCTAACATACCCTACCAAATTTCGTCTCCGTTAAGTAAGTTGTGATTTGGGTCAGTTTTAGATGTTAATTAACGAAGTAAATTTTCACTTATGTTGGTCGTGTTTTCTGCATTTGTGTGAAAATTTAGTTCTGGTTCATTTTAGTATTTTCTATTTTTTCTGTTAGCTATTTTTGGTTTGTGTTAAGATGAGAAGCCAATCGTTGCGATCTTGAGAAAAAGATTGTTGTATTTGGTGTTCGTTTTCTTGGTATTGCCGAAAGCCTATATGTTTGAACGTTTTCATTGCTCTGGACTAATTTGGGCAATAGGTCAATTTGAGTATTATGCGACTTGCTGCATAATAAGTGTTACTAAAAGTAACCTAACGTCAATTTGACAAAATTCATTCGGTGTTTGGTAAATGAATTGTAAATCATGCCCTTATTTCGGTCTTTCAAGTGAATCAATTCGTTGTTTCAGTCTTCAAATTGCTCCTTCATCGACCATTGTTCAGATGTGCAATCATCATGTTCCAACGCGAGTTCGCCCTTCGTTTAGTGGCAAAGCCAGGAGAAAAACACTACTGCAGATTATCAGTCAACACCCAAATACTAGCACGAGTAGACCACATTATGAAAATCGGAAAGAACAATTTCAAACCCCCGCCGAAAGTCGACTCATCAGTGGTGCGAATTGAACCCATAAACCCCCCGCCTAAAATTGACTACCAACAATGGGACGGTTTAGTCAGAATATGCTTCAGCAGAAAACTGAAAATGTTACGAGCGATTTTTAAGAACAACAAAATTTCGGATCTATTGGAGAAAAATTACAAAACGTTTTGTGCAACGAAAAACCAAACAGTACCTGAAGACTTGAATTTCAAACAGTTTGTGGAAGGAATTTTGGTTGATGTCAAATTGGCTGATAAAAGAGCAAGGACTTTAGATTTGGATGATTTCTTGAATTTATTGTTGGCATTTAACTCGAAGGGGATTTATTTTGCCTAAAAGATGATTAAAATTTATTGCCTTGAATTACAAATTACCAAAAATTGGTCGAATAAAGGATGAGATCAATATTTTTTGTGTTCTATCATTGATTTGAAAAGTTTTTTTTTGTTTGAGAAAGCCTAGAAGAAATAGTTTTAAGTAAATAGTTTAAATAATTATTTTTCTTTATTTAATGATATTTTGGACTAAACAATGATATGTAATTTGATTTGATACAAATTCGAAACCGACATAGGATAGTCCTCATATCAATTTCAGATATTGAACATGATATTTATGTGAAATGTGGTCAACCATTTTAGCCCGAGCAGGGCTAGCTAAACTACCATCCACCTCTCAAACCACCTCAAATAACGCCTCAACGTCACAAACGCAGTCTAATCTTCTACTCGATACTTCAGCTTGGAGTGAAAAGTTTAGTTTTCAGCCTCAAAGAGAGAAGAGCAAGGTTGGCACAAATGAATAATGAGTGGCTCAAATTGTTTTTAGTTAGTGTTCTTAAACTGTTTTAAAAGCGAAACTTTACGGAGCAAGTTAAGTACATCAAATTTTCAATAATAAGTCAGCTCAGCTCCTAAATTGGAAATGGCATCAATAAAAAGTTTCAGAAGTTTTATACAATTTTTGAGGTTTTTAGAACCAAAATAGTAGTTTTAATCTTGATAAAAAAAATATGATTGTGCCGACCCCTGCAAAAGAGTAGCATTGAAAATCATTACAATGGAAATGTAGTGAGACATGGACCCGCCAAGATTTACAAGCCCAGACCTCTGAACAGGATGGCCATTCCAGGAGTGAGGATGCCTACTCAGTTAGTCAGAGGTTAGTTGTAAATAATCTTTACTACACTCTTATGATATGTATCTGAAATTTGGGTGGCGATTTTTTGGTGTCTTTTTCCATCCAGTCCGGATAACGTGTGCCAATTTTTTTAAATAGCCCTGGAGGAAGTGGAGTGTCATCCGCTGTGCCATAGGCGTTCCATTCCGCCTTGAGGTGGATGAAACTGTGAATCTACTGTCCGAGATCGAAGTGACCCAATCGTTTTGTTTGCTTTATCTGTGAGCATTAAACCAAAAAATGCTAGATAAGTTTTGGGTTTGTGTGTTGCAAAGTTATTTTAATACGAGAAATGAATAAGCACGATATTATTTCAGGAGTTCCTCCGGGTCGACTAGCCGACAACGTGCGTGCCGTCTCAAAGACCAAAGGACGACAACTCCCATGCAACACTGAAATGGCTGCTCTCTTAAACTGCTTCAAAGAATTTGACTTTGCAGTGGAACATTGCGTGAAAGAACATAGAATTCTTGGTTATTTAGTTGAAATTGGGTCACAAATCTGTAATTTTTCGAGCAACGAACTGGAAATTTGAGTGTTGACTTAAAAAAAGACGCTTCAGAAAAAGACGCTTAAAGTACCTAAGATTTTGGCTGATGACTAGTGTAATTTAATAGATTTTTTTCTGCTGCATCTAATTGTCCCTTTTGTTTACAGTTTTTTTTTGACCCAGTTTGTACTAATTTACCGTATGCTAGAACAATGTGTACATCAAACACGAAACCAACATTTGGAGAAGTTGTTGATGAAGAAACGAGGTAGCGAAGGAAAAGATTTCGTACCTTGGGAGGAGTTGGATTCGATGCAGTTGGCGAAGCAGATCCAGAAATACCCGACGGGAGTTCGGCCTCAGTCGTTTAAGTCGAAAGTGAAGCTAAAAGTGTATAAAAAGTGAACTGATCAAATTAAAACTATGTTGTTTATCATCCGTCTAGAGAACTTGTGTCATTTTTTGAAAAGGCTTCTATCGTTTTAATTGAATAGAGACTGAAAGTGTGTAAAAAATGAGTCGATGAACTGTTTAAGTTTAGTTTTATTTTGAGAAAGAATGATTAAAGGACTAATGATGAGTAATCGTTTCGGGTTTGGGAATTTGGTGCTGGGACCCAAAACCCTGTGTTTTATTTTCAGATTCTTTGAACCCGGTGTTTTTTAAATCGGGTTTTCTCGGTATCTACCAAGCAAATCTATCTCACAACAGTTTATCTCCAAATTCTGAATCAACATAAGATTTAACTCAAGAAAACGTGACAGTACAAGAGAATTCCAGGGTCTGATCTGGTCTTGTCGTCGTGAAAAATGACGTCACCAGTGGTGGATTTGTCAGCTTGTGATGTGACGATGGTCGAACCGTCGTCAAATCAGCAGGTAAATTTCAATCAAAAGATTTAATTTGGCAAACCCAATTCTAATGCCCTATGAACCATGTATTAAATTACCATTAGTTTTGAAAAAAAAACTGATTTTTGTTCTGAACTTATTAGTGGTTCATTTTTGGGGTAGGATGGCTGCTTCAGGATTAAGAACTAGCTTTGGCTCAAAAGTTTCAGGAAATCCGTTGCATCAAGAAAATAAATTCAATTTACAAACAAAGAAAGTCGTTGGCTGTGCAAGTAGCAAAGAATATTCCGATCCTAATGATTTAAGAGCAGAAATTCAAAAAAAAATGAGATAAAAAATCGATTATTTTCTGAAGTTGCTGTTAGTTTTGTAAAGTCCGACTGAATCATGTGAAAAACTATGAAAATGAGTGTTCAAAATAGCTAAAACATCGTTACAAATGCAGTAGAATTAAATTGGGAGGCCAGTCTCTCATGAAATGTGTTCGTCTAATTTGGTCTGAAAACAATTAATTTCTTGACACCGGGGAACTTTTTTTATTAGACAGTTGAAAGAGCGTTAATCAGCTTTCTTTGAGGTAATCAAAATCAAGAGAGGAAAACACACCCTCTCCTAGTTCCTGTCTGTGGAAATGAATGAGCGGGTGACGCTTTGAACGTATATCCCGCACCTTTTAAAAAATATGTACTACCTTCACAAAAACTAATTGGAGCATTATTTGGGGCTTTCTTCGATCACTTCAGGGTCTGGACTCATTTAATTGAACTGTTTCATTTTAAATTTTCTCGAGGTAATATAATGTAGGAATGGTTTGTATCTGTTATTTTAGAAAATGGCGTACACCTCTGAGAAACACTCTCGAGGATTCCTCAAAGAACTCAACATAATGAGACGCAGTGGTGCTTTGTGCGATGTGACTATCAGAGTGAATGAGACAACTATTATGGCCCACAAGCTGGTCTTGTCTGGCTGTTCGCCATACTTCAAAGCCATGTTCACCAACAACTTGGCTGGTTAGTAACTATAGTGTATAATGTATGCTGTTATTTTACCTGGGGTTGCAAAGGGGTTTTTACATGTTGGTTGTAAAAAGAATTGCGTTTAAAATATATTGCTTGAGTAACAGTTTTCAAAGAACTAATTAAGTTATTTGTTCATGTCACCTCTTTTCAACAAAACAAGTATTTAGCAATTTAATAGTTGATAACAATTAAATGTGGCCAACTTTTTGGAGCAAAGTTTTGTGAGGAAAACCCGATGCCCCTCCACCTAAAATTTATTACCAAGAGTCGCCTTTGGGTTTCATTTTTTGGGCTCGAAGACAGTGAAGTGAGTTCTTCAATGTAGGAATTGGTTAACTAACTAGAGCGAAGGAGTGCGGAAAAATAGGCTCGAAATTTCAAGCGTTCCAAGCTTTTTTACCCTTGCAATCGGATACTAGACTTTCTTCCCGTAAATAACTTCGTTCACAGGACTCATTCATCTCCAGGACTCATTCATCTATTGGACCTTTCTGTTGCAACATACTTAATTTTAGTTTGTTGGCATTTTAAATATCTGGCCTTATCGAAATTTACTTTTTTATTGGTTGTAATTTGACCAATTCGAATTGTTCAAACTTCATTTTTCATTTTTTTTGTCTTCCTTTCGGCTTAATAGGCTTTGGTTTATTTACACAAGCAAAGATTGTGTGATAATTATGAACTCTCTTTTTTATCAACCTAAGTGGCAAACTCTAGCGTTCATTTTGAAAGTGTTCTTTTATTGCAGTATGTGCATGAGATCAATAACCAGCTTTTAGGTACAGCCAATGCTAACGATATTAATACAGACTATTATTTTACAAATAGCACTTTAGCTTCAAGGTATCATGGACCTGTAGCGTAGAGGTAGGGAAGGATACTCGGAACAAAATCAGAGAGTTCGAAACTGGGCAGGGTCGGAGGGTTTTAATGAACTTTTTCGTATACTAGTTAAAATGCGTCCGCTCTATAAATTGAGACATGTTAGTTGGTAAATTTCTTTTTTCAAATTAATTGAAATTGCTAATGCGTTATAATTGGCTTGCGTCACTTAGCATTTATTTAGACTCATTATTGGCGTGCGTCACTTAAGAAATTATGTAGACTCAAAGTTTAACTCATTCAGTTTTTCCCTAGCGTTATCGGTCATATTTTAGCTTGTGTATGCGAAGTGCAACATCGCATCTGTATTTATATCGACTTAGAGTATTATTGCATCGTTTGATGACCGAAAATGTTTTGTGCCTGTGTGTGTTCTTAGGGGAAAGGACTTATTTTTTATCAGATAAGAATTTTTGATTTTTTTTGGCATGAATGGTTTCTGCTCAGGTATCGTTACCTCTCAGTAATTATAAATTCAAGTTCAATCAACCATCGGGCGCATTTAGCATTGAGGTAACTCAATGGCTTGGCACGGCTTGTGGTTGGAATCCGACCTGGACCTGTTTTTTTTGCAAACGAGTTTTTGTGTTTTTTCAGACTTTCTTCCGTCTGTTTTTTTTGCGGGCTTAGTTGCCGTAGCCCCACTTGGCCCAATTTTTTTGAAGGTTCAGGGTTCTTCGAAATTGTAGTAACACCCATGCTTGAGACAAAGCCCGGAAGTTCGATTCCAGTCAAGACCTGTTTTTTTTGCAAAATAAAAATTTACCGCTTCTTTCTATACCGCTTCTTTCTAATAGCGCTTCTTTCTAATAGTCTGAAAGCTCCTTGTAAAGTTTTTGTTGTAATTTTTATTGACAAAAAGTTTTTTTTCAAAATTTTTGTTTCTTTTCATTTGTTTTTAATTTTTGTCATTCATTTGTGTATCGCAAGTGGTTGCGAAGCTCAGCTTCGTCTCTTTGTTAAATATCAGTGCAGCTGACCGATTTGAAGTAAGTGTGTTTATTTTGCTTCTTGTCTTTAAGCAATTTTTTTAATTATGTGAAGTTGACGGTTTTCTTGTTCCACGATTTACATTTTCAAACACAATTTGAAACTTTTTCAAGCATAGTACTTCTTAGCTTTTTAATTTGTAAATTGGTTTCCAAAAAAGTTCAGTTGCCTCAGTGTCGAAAAAAAACTGGTGAGTTTTTTCCGTTTTTCCAATTTAAAAATCAGACGTCGAAAATTATCTGTTCACGTTTCAGAGACTCATCAGGACGCGATTGTGTTGAACGAAGTGGACTCTGCGGCCGTGGAGGCACTCATCGACTTCTGCTACACGGGATCTATCGTGGTCGAGATCACAAACGTACAAGTTCTTCTCCCAGCCGCATGTCTCTTACAAATCGAAGAGGTAGGAAATGAAATAAATGTCTAACCGAGAATGCGGCGATCTTCTAAAATGATCTGCGTGTTGTAGAAGTATTATATAAAAAAGTGATAAAATGTTAGATATATTTGAAACAATTTATTATTGTTATTACATGAACCTGCTGTAAATAATAGCATCAGATTGTCAGGAGGCGGATTTTTGAAAGTTTTGGGCTTGTAAGGAAGAAGCATAGGTTGATCTAATTGTACAACAAATCCGTGAAGAATTTGAGGAATCCAGGAGCATCATCATTGTTTTTCATGGCTTGAAGCAAAGAACAACTTTGAGTCCAATAATACCTAAATTGTTCTCTCACCTTCAAGCAATGAGTAACAATGATGATTCAAAAAATACCTAAAATAAGTGTGAAAATTGAGGAAGAACATCACCATTATAACTCAAAGATTTTCCTCGTTTAGGTTCTGGAGGTGTGTTGTGAGTTTCTGAAGAAGCAGTTAGACCCCACCAACTGTCTGGGCATCAGGGCATTCGCAGACACTCACTCGTGCAGGGAGCTACTCCGAGTGGCTGACAAGTACACGTACGACAAGATACAAGAAGTAAGTTGTATTTATACTTATTCATGCTTACAGGTCAATTGCCCACCCTAAAACATAATGATAGTTTATTCGAGGCTTTACTTGAACAGAAGTGGTCAATGTTGTGCATTTAAAACTCAGGAGATTAAGACTTAATAGTTCATTCAATTTCCGTTTCCAAGAGGAATTTAGGTTTTCCTTCTCAGTTATATGCAGGGTGACCACTTGGTCACTATTTTAGTGACCAGTCACTATTGGTCACTATTTTTTCAATGGTCACTAAAAGTCACTATTTACACCTAAAAAAAAGTGGTCACCCTGGTTATATGCTAAAATGTAATTAGTCACCCTCGTTTAAGTAATGAGAAGCAATATTTTTACTTAAACTAATAAATATTATTATATGGGGCTAGCAACAACAACAATGTGTTAATGGACGAAGTAAATGTTCTCTTAATTAGGGTTTGCAGTTTTTTTTTTCATTTTTAAACGAAAAAGTTCTTTAAAAGCTGAAAAAATCCATCCATTGTCCTTACAATAATTAATGTGTTTGTTTACACAAGCAATGCTTGTGTTATAGTTTGAACTATCGTTTTTTTTTTCAACCTAAGTTGCAAATTTTGTTGTGACGCAAATATTGTTGCAATAAAATGTGTTTATTTTGAAAGTGTTCAATTTAATCAATAACCAGCCATTAAGTACAGCCTATGCTGCGGCTTTTAACACAGACTATTATTGTTCCGACTTTCGTAACGAAAGTGACGAATATTTGTGCTCGGGGTGTTTTTTTTCAGACAAATTTCGACTTATAACTAGCCATTTTTGACAGGATTTTTCTATGTCATTCAAAAAATATTGTTGTCCTGAACTCAAATTTGGAAAAATATTTCAGCTGTGATCGTTTTTCGTAAAGTTATGGGGGTATGAAAGTTTCCATTTTGGTCAATTTGGGAAAATTAACGCGCGATCTATTACATGCTATTAACGCGTAAGCGCACATTCAATCCGTCATAGAAATCGTTCCAAATTGGTTGAAGGAAGCTTATTTGCCATAATTGATTGGTTACTAGGAGCGAAATTTATCACTTTGTACTTGATATGGCGTATGGGGTATGATTTTTTAGAAAAAATCTCCAATTAAAAAAAATCATTTCATTTTTATTACATTTACTTTTTTCATGTTATTACTGCTCCATAGACTGCTCTATAAATGGAGACATGTTAGTTGATAAATTTCTTTTTTTTTCAAATTGACTGGTACTGCTTATGCGTCATAATTGGCTTGCGTCGCCTAAGAATTTTTGAAGACTCAAAGTTTTACTCATTCAGTTTTTCCCAGTAACGTTATCGGTCATATTTTTGCTTGTGTATGCGAAGTGCAACTTCGCCTGTGTTTAACTCGTTTTTCTTTCAGGTCATGCAAAGCGATGAGTTTCTTCTTCTCTCCAAAGAACAATTAATCGGAATAATATCGAGCGACGAAATCAATGTGCGAAATGAAGAGCAAGTGTTCAATGCCGTCATGCAATGGGTCAAGTATGACTTGACAAACCGAAGGGTATTTTTGTCACAAGTTCTCGGAAATGTCAGGTTGGTGTGAAATGATATGAACAAATATTTGGAGCATTTGATTTCCATGTAAAAGATGTTAAAACTTCTACTTTTGAAAAATGAAAAACACCTTGAATTAAAAAAAACCCTGAATTGGTTTTAATTTGCTTGTATCCGTTAAAATGAAATATCACTTAATGTAATTACGATCATCGTTGTAGTATGAACAATTATTTGATTATATTGAATCATTTTAAGTTTTGTCATCAAGAAAGGAATAAACGCCATTAATTATATCATTCTACCAACAGGTTTTGTTTGATGTCCCCCAAGTTCCTCGTCAGTGTGAGTTCGGATCACCTCGTGAAAAACGACGAGTCCTGTCGGGATTTGGTGGACGAAGCGAAGAATTATCTTTTGTTGCCGAACGAACGAGCTCAGATGGAAGGTCCCCGAACAAGACCGAGAAAGCCGGTGAAGCGAGGAGAAGTTTTGTTTGCTGGTACGTCAAATTCGCAAATTTCAGACCATTCATGTGCACCGGCCGCTAAAAAAAGCCTGGTGCCGGAAAGTGAAAGTACTAATTATGTTCAAGCTGAAGGGCACAACGTGGCCGAGGGTCACAATTACGGACAGGCTCAAAACAGAGTTCAAGGTCACAGTGCAATTGAAGGTCACAATTATGCACAAAACCAGAGTGTAGTTCAAGGTCAAAATAGTTTTGTGCAGAGAAATGTAGTTCACGATCGTGGTTTCACTCAAGGTCGGCAAAGTTTCTCAAGTATAGTCTTTGTGCAGCCTTATGATATCGATGATGATGAAAAATCAGTTGAAGAGTTAAACTAGACTGCTAGATTAGTAGAGCAAGCATACATCATAGTACAGCGTGTTGAGGTCTTGCAGTAGAGATTAGGCGTTTTCATTCAGAAGACTTTAAGTTGATGGGGATTGAACAGATGAAAAAATGAATGTGAAAGACTTCAATTTAGTTCCTAGTTATGAGTTTTGCGCTGCGAGTTTTGCTTAGATTTTAGTTTGTTAGCTTAAAATTAGATATGAAATATCTTGGAAAATTTTCAAGAGGGTGTTTGTCTTGATTGTCAAATGATTGCGGTAATTTTTGTTGATTTTCTTTCGAAACCGATATGGCTTTTGTTTTCAATCTAATTAAAAAATTATGACCGGCTCAAAGAATTTGCTAGTTTTTCTAGATTTGCTATGTTGAGTTAAAGTTGAGACCAACAGAATAAAATACTTCCGTGCTGGAATCGCTGGAAGGAGTTATGATAAAAGACGATGAAGCACCCATGAAGACTTTGAGTTTTTCAATAAAAGAAGAGCAAAAGATTAGTCAACTTGAAATAACACAAGGAAATACTGAGCAAGAGTTAGACCCGTAGAAAGATAGAAAATCGTTGTTCGTTGAGTAAAGAAAAAGGAAATTTAGGAACTCGTGAGTTTCAACAAGTATCTTTATGAACATAGTTTAATATCCGAGATCAAATTAGGCAAAATCAGAGCTGCGCCCTGAGCAAGATCCTACTGGTTTGCAGTCTTCTATTGGATTTTTTTTGGAAAAGTGAATGCTATTTTACCACAATAATTTGATTTCTTGTTCCGACCATTAAAAATTCAGACCATTGTTTCGACCATTGAATTTTGTATTCGGTTGTGTTTTAATTTTTTCTTTTCCTTCCACGCAAAATCAGGTCCCACAAATAATCATTGGAATGGGTTGAGTGATATATCCTATTAAAGCCCTTTCAGTCGTGAACTTTTGAGAACATTTCATTTCCTCAGTGTCGAGAAAAGTCCGTGTGAAATTTTTGGTTTTTGGTCGAATATCGAGCGAATAAGGTGAGCGAGAATTCACCACAAATAATCATCGTAATGGGTGGAGTGGTTTATTATATTAAAGGACTTTTAGTCGTGATTCGAACCACATTTAAAATTTTTCAAAAAGTTGTCCCAGTATCGAGAATAAACGGTTTGAAATTTTTTGGGTTAGGTTAATTTCGAGCAAGTAAAGCTAGCTAGCAGGCTTAGTATAGAAGGATAAGTTTTGAAACTTCAATTTTTTTCCAGTGAAAATGTTTTTTGAGGTTTTTAGCGCTATTTTTGCAATATGTGGGTATTCATGTTCAGATTTTTTTTTATAAATTATACTTGGGCCCCTTTTTTTCAATTTTGTCTAGTTATATAAAAAGTACATATTGGGCACCTTTGGTTTTTACTACTACAGCATGTGTGAAGGTCTTTGTGTATAAGATTTATATAAGTTGTCATTTTTGAAGGTCTTTGTTTATAAGATCTATATAAGTCCTCTAGTCGTATATTTTTTTACAGGAATGCGCAGGTCGTGCGTGCGATCTCCAGTATGCGAATTTTGTTTTTAAATGGTTTATTTTGAGACTTTTACAGTATTTTTTTCTCATTTTCTTTTATCATGGTTTTATAAAGTTTTCTTGGCCGATTTTTTGCATGAAATTTCGAAATGCAGCTTCGCGTAGGAAAATAGCATATCCGTATCCGCGCAATTAAAGCCAACTCCAAGTATTCGCAACTAAACAGCTAACGCAGGTGATTCTTGATCTGCAACTCCTAGGTCCGCATCTCGGAGTCTCGTATCTTTTTGGGCTGATATTTTTTGGCTTATTTTCAAACATGCGAAATTGGAACATAGACTATTTCAGGTTAACAAGTTTGTCTTAACATCATTATTGATGAGTTTATTCGTCGATAACTTTTTAGTCAACAGACATATATTGAGGAGTTCTAGATACCCATTTAATTTGAAAATTGTAAATAATGTTGGTTTCAAATTTTTTACCAACTCAGATTTGATCAATTTTGGGATGACTTTTAGTCTAAGAAGCCGCGGAATATAAAAGTTGTCTGTTGAATTTAACCAGTGTTCTCAATTTTTTGTTTGAAGATGTAAATTTACCAACTCCGGTTTTCGGTGTTTTCGAATTTGATTGTTTTTATCAAAAATACTTCAACCACAGGCGATTATTACATTTGCGAAACAAAGTGTATTAGTACGATTTTTCCAACCTAAGTCGCGAGTAAAAGTGCTACTTTTGGTGGCATTTTTGAATCGGTATGCTGCGGTAGCAGTATAATATGATGTGCATTGACACTTGATTAGTAAAAGTTAACACAGCTGATGCATTTTCAATTCATCAAATGAACCGAAAAAATTTATTTGTTTCAAACAGTAGTACAATGATAAAAAGCTCGATTTCAGAAAATTTTCTACATAATTTGGCTTTTTGCGTTCGACTTTATTTCAATGCATTTAATTGGCAATTTATAAGCATATGTAGCCTTGTTATTGGTGGCTACTTGTTGGAGATTCAAGCATCCGTGGCGGAGTGGTTAGTGCGTGAGACTCAAATCTGCTAGGTTGCAGATTCGAATCCGACACGTAGCCGAGTTTTTGCTAATTCGAGGCTTATTTCTACTTTTTCTCATTTCACTTGATAGAGCTGCTTTTTAGTCGTGTTCTGGCAAGTGTTTACGAGGCGCAGCTTCGCCTGTGTTGAAACTCGTAGTTGAATCTCAACTTTTAATGCGGTATATTTTTTTCTTTGAAACTATTTTTTGTGTGTGTTTTATACCACTTTTTGGGATTCGTTAATCGGATCTATATGTATCAAATTATTTGGGAGATCTGGTCGCTTTTATTGAGTCAATTTATCAAGAGATTACCCCTCATATGCTACTGGTTGGGTTAAATCTATATTTTTTGGATACTTATCTGGGGTCAGTAGATCTCAACGTACTTTTTTATAAGCAGAAGTATCTTTTGTATCGTTTTCTAATCACACTTTTGCCACTTGTAGTGGGCGGCTGGTGTAGTGGGGATGCGATCTCCTCAGTGGAGGGATATGACCCAGTCACCAAAGAGTGGAGGATGAAGACATCCATGTGTAAAAGGAGGTGTGGGGTGGGGGTGGCAGTGCTGGATGGACTACTCTATGCCGTGGGGGGACACGATGGAGCCAGCTATCTTAACAGTATAGAGCGGTAAGTTGTAATGAGATATAGAAATGCATGAATCGGTTTGTTTGTTTTTTTGCCGCTTTATTTTCAAACTTAGCGTTAGCTTAGGAAGTCAATTTCACTTCTTAGATTGTGTGTTGTTTTTATAGCAAAAAAAGTCTGCATTTTCTGCGCTCTTTTCTAACTAGACGTGTGACATTTTATTAGTTTGGGTGGTTTCTCATAAAACTCGTTTCTCAAAATTATCTCAGATAAATTTAGGTTATTGTTTAATTCCTAAATTTGGTTACAATTTGAAAGCTACCAATCAGTGTAACCAGCTCAAATTGTAGTTTTCTGCAAATCGAAATGTTTTAATTTGTTCCAGATACGACCCTCACACTAACTCTTGGAGTCAAGATGTGGCCCCTACTAGCACATGTAGAACAAGTGTGGGAGTAGCAGTTCTAGATGGATATCTGTATGCTGGTGAGTTGCCGTTCCTGTCATTATATTACACACTATTTGTGCACTGAACTTTACTCATACTCATGACTGGTCCTGATTCGAAAGTCCTGATGTCGTTCCTCAAAGTGTTCAAAACTTCAGTGACTGCAGTATAAAAGTTTGAAACTTGAAAACTAACTGTATTTGTGACAGTTTATAGGCGGTCTTCATGCTTTTTATTTTAAATTAAGCGCGTTTTTATTTCCCCGACTGTCAAAAACCAGATGACTTGAAATACATCTTATAGTTCATGCGAAGTTGTCGGCAATATTGGTCATATTGTGCATCTTTATCAACCAGGAAAAAATGTTCACAGCAAATTAACTTTTCGGCACGGTTTCTACATTGACATGAGTGCGAAATTGGTTTCCGACGTTAAAATAAGCAGTTGTATGATAATTCACTTCGTTCAGATTTTTTAGACCATAACTAAGCGCGTCTTTGTTTACCTGAAACAAGGGTGGATCTAGGATTTTCGCGAAGTGGGAGGGGGTTGGGAATTTTCAAAAACTCTTTTTTTGTCGATCGAGTAAATTGATTTTCTAGCTTTCCAAGCCGCTATAAAGACCCTACTTTTTTCTGACGAATTTTTCTGCACTGCTGGCTAGTTTTTGAGAAAAAAAAACAGGTCAAAAAGGCGTTTTTCAACACTGAAAATTATGACTAGAAAATCCCTTTTTTCAACGCGCGCTACCCCCTCAAAGTTAGTATAAATTGGCGACTTCAGAAAAATTTTCAGGTCGTTCAGCCAAAATTAGATTTTTTAATTGTACCAAAAGGGAAGACATCAGGTGACAAAAAATATATACTTAAATATTTGAAAACAGGGTGGGGGACTTTATTTTAAACTGTTCAAAACAAATAGAGTAAAAAAGTTTGAAACAGAGTAAAAAAACATATTGAAAACAAAATGAGAAAAATAACAACGTTTTACCAGTTTTGTGGCTTAGAGCGACAGTATTCGACTCTTGGGATGACTGTAGTGACTGTAGTATAAAAGTTTGAAACTTGAAAACTAACTGTATTTGTGACAGTTTATAGGCGGTCTTCATGGTTTTTATTTTAAATTAAGCGCGTTTTTATTTCCCCGACTGTCAAAAACCAGATGACTTGAAATACATCTTATAGTTCATGCGAAGTTGTCGGCAATATTGGTCATATTGTGCATCTTTATCAAACAGGAAAAAATGTTCACAGCAAATTAACTTTTCGGCACGGTTTCTACATTGACATGAGTGCGAAATTGGTTTCCGACGTTAAAATAAGCAGTTGTATGATAATTCACTTCGTTCAGATTTTTTAGACCATAACTAAGCGCGTCTTTGTTTACCTGAAACAAGGGTGGATCTAGGATTTTCGCGAAGTGGGAGGGGGTTGGGAATTTTCAAAAACTCTTTTTTTGTCGATCGAGTAAATTGATTTTCTAGCTTTCCAAGCCGCTATAAAGACCCTACTTTTTTCTGACGAATTTTTCTGCACTGCTGGCTAGTTTTTGAGAAAAAAAACAGGTCAAAAAGGCGTTTTTCAACACTGAAAATTATGACTAGAAAATCCCTTTTTTCAGCGCGCGCTACCCCCTCAAAGTTAGTATAAATTGGCGACTTCAGAAAAATTTTCAGGTCGTTCAGCCAAAATTAGATTTTTTAATTGTACCAAAAGGGAAGACATCAGGTGACAAAAAATATATACTTAAATATTTGAAAACAGGGTGGGGGACTTTATTTTAAACTGTTCAAAACAAATAGAGTAAAAAAGTTTGAAACAGAGTAAAAAAACATATTGAAAACAAAATGAGAAAAATAACAACGTTTTACCAGTTTTGTGGCTTAGAGCGACAGTATTCGACTCTTGGGATGACCTAGAGGTCCTTGCGAAACCAACTGGATGAAGAAAAAGCGTGAAAAATTTTTTTTTTGCATAAACAACTTACTTGAATTGATTGTTAAACGATATCAATTTTTTCATGTTATGCTTATAAGTTGTTAATATGAAGAAAGAAGCAGAAGAAGGGCTTTAAAAAAACAAAAACCCCTTTTTTTTCTACGTTTAAAATATGCTTTTATTGTATAATTGTTTAAGACAACGTTTCAAACCCCCACCCTGTTTGAAAAATATATTGTCGCCAGTTTGGCATTAAATATGCCAAACTAAGTGCATTTTTCTATCCTCAAAAGAGCAAACAACAGATAGCTGAAAATAGATATTTGTTTTTAGTTGGTGGCCAAGACGGCATCTCGTGTCTAAATATAGTGGAGAAGTATGAGCCACATGGGAACAGATGGACCAAGTGTGCCCCCATGGCCACCAACAGACTGGGTGTGGCACTGGCTGTACTGGGGGGACACATGTATGCAGTTGGGGGATCCGAAGGACAAGTACCCTTGGATTCAAGTCAGTACTAACTCCAACATAAAAGCTTTTTTAAAGTGTACCAGAACGAAGTGATTTTTTCTGTTTCAGGAAAGTCTTAAATGCTCTAATAACAGAAGTGCATTCATACATATTAATTAATGCATTTAGTTATATATGCACTGTGATTTCAATTCAAATTCATCTAAAAATTACGTAAAGTGTGCTCTCCAATAACGAAAAGCGGAAATGGCGGGAACAAACGTAAATGATTTCTAGTTCCGAAAAAGGATTTTAATTTTTGGGTTTCTCAGCGGAATAAAAAATAACCCACTGATCCAGTTTTCTTAAAATTGGTAAATTTTATCAAAAAAAATCAATTTTAAATTATTCTCGAATTCAAAGTGCTCTAACCTGATATATATTATTGCGCTCGAAGTTCGATAGATAACAAAATCGTTAAGAATTTTTAATCAGTTTTTTTTCGGTTTCCTTTTTTTTCAAATTTTTCCAATTTTCTGTTGGCTATGTTTTACTTTGTTGCAATTTCCTAATTAGATGACATAGTAAAGATATGCATGGAATAGCTTCAAATTTTAAAATGAAGAAGATAATGGCACGATTTTTTTCTCGAAAGTTTGGCTTCGAAGTACCTGAAGATGATTTAATAATTACAATTTCGATAATGAAATTTTAAGCCATAGCTATCAGCTAGAAATCAAATGAAAGGAGTTAGTTTTGAAAAAGTATATGTATTCGCTCTTGTTTAGTTTTTTTATGAATTCATGTTGCTCTTGTTAATGATCTAATTTTTTTTCAGTGGAGAAATACGACCCGAAATCGAACAGATGGACAACCCAAACCCCAATGCACACGAAGCGGAAACACCTTGGATGCGCAGTTTATAATGATATGATATACGCAGTCGGAGGCCGAGATGATGTTGCCGAACTATCGAGTGTCGAACGATACAATCCTCTCACAAAGTTGTGGTCAAATGTTGTGGCTATGACGTCGCGTCGCAGCGGGGTCGGGCTCGCAATTGTGAATGACGTTCTAATGGCAGTTGGAGGTTTCGATGGAACTACTTATCTAAAAACTGTCGAAGAATACGATCCCCAATCTAATTCGTGGAAACTGTGTGGTTCTATGAATTACAGACGATTAGGCGGCGGTGTAGGTGTGATTAAATTACACAGTGATGACGCGTTTCATTCTTGACAGGACAGAGAGAGTATAAGTGGAAAATTCGATTTTAAGCATTGTTCGATTTTAAATTAGATTAGATTTATCCTTTAAATTTGCCCAAAACTACTGAATTTGTAATATTTTTGGTTCTTTGTATAAGAGAAAGTATAAAAAAACTTATGTTGCTTAATGTTTTGTGGGTGTCCTTTAGGTAAAGAAATTTTGGGTTAGGAGCCAGAATCATTTAGCGGCTTTTGGCATATTGAGAGGCATTCACTTTGCGAACGTCAGATCGAGTGTTCGATCTCTTGTCATGGCAACGGCAATGGTTACGCTTGCGAGATTTTGCCTATTACCAGTTCTCGTTTTTTGCCTAAATTCAGTCACGCTTCTTTGGAAAAAAAAATAAGCTGTCAATTTAGATAAAAAACTCTTTACACTACCAGGCGTAGTGTATTAGTATGATACGATTTTTTCTAGAAAATAACAGTGCTCATTAGAGGCGTTTTTGCTATAATCACGATCTGTAGCATTGAAATTATCCAAGCTTCTCTTCGCTGCTTAATTGGTCGTTATTGTTTGCCGTAAGTCAAGCGTCCGTGGCTCAGAGGGAAAGACGTGAGATTCCTAAGCTGCTTGTTTGAGGTTCAACGCCGCACTTTTTTTAAAATTTATATTCGATGCATAGCATTGGCAAGTTAGTATCATCTATAGCTTCATCATTGGTAGCAAGTGTTAGTAAATTTGCAATAGCCCGCGGTGCAGATGCGGGAACGTGGGTCTCCTCATTTGTAGGTCGTAGATTCGAATGTGACACACTAAATCGAGGCTTATTGCTATCTTTTTAAAAATAACTTGAGCTGTTTTTGTCTTTTTCTAGTGTTTGCAAAGCGCAGCTTGGCCTCTCTGTAAAATTGAAGACCAGCTGTTATTTGAGCTTAAGCGTTTCAGGTTTACCGTACTACCGGTTTCGGCTGCTATAGTGGTACCACGTGAAAATTTTAGACGCAAAAAACTGCCTTCGCTCAACAAACTAACTCAACCTGGAATGTGGGGAAATAATGAAAATGGGTAACCGGTTACTATGCAAGTAGCTCAAATTGTTCCGACCATAATCTTAAAAAACAACACAATTTTTTCAAATTAGTGTAGTTTTTCTGCGCGCTGTGGTAAAATGATCTGAGCAGAGAACTAAGGCATATTCGACAGTCTTAGTAAATTAGGCCGATTGGAAATCCGTTTTTTTTTAGAAAAAAGGCTGGAAAAACGAAAAATAAAATTTTTTTTAATTTCAAAACTTTTTTCAATTGTTTTCAGATTTTTTTTTGATTCACAAAATGGCGCTTACAAACTCCCAAAAATTAACTCTACTCGAGTAAAACTAACTTTACTCGAGTAAAACTAAGTTTTCACGGCTAACTTAATCATAAATAAGCTCTTGTAAGACTCCGCTTTAAGCTTATTAAATCAAAATCAAACCAAAAATCATAAATTTCAAACCGATTTTTTCTCGAGACCAAATTTTTTTTCGAAATTTTTAAATGTCTAATCGCGACTAAAAGGGCTTCATTATGATACATCACTCGAACCATTCCGATGATTATTTGTGGTACCGTATTTTATGTAGAAAACTTATCTGCGGAGATCCTACGTTTTAGCGCAGTATTTTCGGCTTGCTTGTGTTCACCCAAATTTTTATCCACGCCAGTATTAACTCAGTGTGTTGACATGTGAAGACATGGATTGAAAGAATGCTGCGCAAATAGAGCATCTAAGTTACAAATACAGCTATTGGTAACTAACTTTCAGATTCATTATGGATTCGACAGAGTTCGACAACGTGCCACTTCTGGAACGAGAAACGAATAACCCTTCAGAAACAGTTATAACTAGAGATACTAACCAGGACCAACAAGCACCCAGAAAAAGATCTGTGAGGTTTAAGAATCCAACAACAAGTGACACGATTACCATTGAGGAGCTCGCTAAGAGGAAGGATCCTTTTGATATCACAGACGAAGAGTTCGAGAAACTCTCACTTTACAGGTTAAAGTTTTCTTCCGCTCACTTTTTGTCATCGGCTGTGATTCAACTCATTAGAAGGACAGATGAGTGAGCAAACTTTAATCAAGTTGTTCTCAAGGTTTTAAAAAATTTTGATTCAATCTCTCGATGCGACAGTTTGGTTTGTTTTGACGAATTTTGTTTAAAAAAATGAAAGAAGAATGAATGAATGAGCGAAGTAATATTTCAGTAATCAACCACTTGTAGTTTTTTCGGTTGACAAGGCTTAAAAGTATTCATGCTCATTGTCCACTTGTTGATGACCCCTAGCATTTTTCTAGCTGCCGAGTGTCTGTACCCGATATTGCGAAGATTTGTCTTTTCAAATTATTAGTTTTAATTTTCTTGTGACATATTAGTCCTTTTTTGGCTTGGGTATCCGAAATGGTACTTAGACTATTGTGTATGATGTTTTGTTTGTTTAGATCACAAATTGGTTCTTCGTCTGGTGCTTTCACAGTGGGTGGAGTGTTCTGGATGGTGTGCAGCATATATGTACTCTACTACACACAGCTTCCAATAGTCATAAAGGTAGACAGTTGCTAATCAGTTATTATGCTATTTAGACGATTATACTATTATACTATGGTCTTCAATAATACCAATTCCCCTGTTTTTCAAACGAAACTTCTGTAATTTATGCATATTTTCTGTTTTGGTACAAATCTAAAGCAGAATCTAAATGAGAGTCTAAATTATTCCACTGGCGTTCAAATCCCAGTCTGAAGTCGATTCAATTTTTTCTGTGTCGACATTTCAGAATCAACTAGAGGTCATTTTAAATCCTTTTGATTGGACGTTGTGGTGTTTGATTTCACTCTTCAGCTTGAGATAGATGGTGGGTTGTTTAGGCAGACGAGAGAGTGGACTGGTTCTGGCTGAGTCTCAGTGGCCTCATGTTGACAGTCTGTCTCCTCCAGGCATCCTACTTCATCGTCTTCCTCTCTTGGATCAACAAAGTAACCTCCATTTGATACCTAAGAAAGCAGTGTTGAAAAGTGCTCAAGTTAAGCTAAAATATCAACACTTCTTGATGGTTGATCTAAACACTTGTTCAACCCTGTGTAATTGAGTAACCAGCTTAGAAATGTTCATTCTGTCATTAAGATATAAAACTGGATGGAAAAGTGTCACTTTTTCGATATACTTGGAAACTTGATTATCAAAACATGATTGTGAAAGTTTCTGATTTTTCCTGGTTTCTGGGTTGTTTTATGTTATAAATGAAAAGTGTATAGAAGTTGTGCAATACATTGTTTCAGGTGTCGAGTGACAATTGGGAGAAACACTTCCCGCCTGGCATCCCAATTGCAACAGCCACCTTCCTCCTCTTTTCCCTCTTCCTCAACATGGCACTGTGGCCTGTGTTCGGACTACTCACTCCACTCATTTTATTGTCACAGTTCATGGGCGGCATCACCTTCTTGGCTCTTTTTCCCTGATTCCCTGAACAAGCAAAAGTTCCGTGAACGAAGAAGAAATCAAACTATAGAATTCAAATGATCAGAGTGCAAAAGAAGTGAATGAACTGATATGTGAATAGACTCATAAATGACGAAGTGCGCGAACAAGTGAACTTAATTGTAAATGGACTGCAAACATTATTTTGACATGCATAAGCGAATTTGTGCGCAAAACTCACTTTTTAATTAATTTAGTTTCCATTGACATAGATTTTTGTTGTATAAATTTAAATTGCTATTAATAAAGTTCAATTCGCACTATTTTATCAACCGTGTAAATCCTGAAAGTATAATTCAGTTAAATATGAGAAATGAATACTTTTGCTTAAAATAAGAATTATGTTCATTGCTTTTTGACATACATTTTACTCGATGTGTATAATGAAGATGTTGGAAGAAGTTCTTTTGGAAGCCATTTTAAAAGAAATGTAATCAAGTGTTCAATCAAAAGCATAAATGTAGCAGGAAATTTCAGTAATATTTCAGTTTTTTTTGTCATTAACAGGGTGTTTTTGGCTTACACTTATTTAGGCTTCAATATATTTTTGCTTAATCAAATCAAATAATTTTGGCAAATTAAGCCAATGCATCATTCAATATCAAATGTTTTTTTTTAAACGGCATGGGGAGCAGCCGTAATGTTTTCCGCTTCTCAATCGAAGCTCAGTGAATCTAGGTATGAGCTTTTTGTTTGCTGGGACGAGTGAACATTTCTCATCCCAAAAATGCAGATCTTCATTTGGAGTCGATGAACGTAGTTCAGACTAATATATGTCGTGATGTTTTTTTCTTTTTTTTCAGGAAGTCTTAAAATTTACTTTTTGTGATTTGAATTTTGATTTCTCTAATAGTTAATAATATCCTTTACTATCGAAGAGCAAAAATATAAAGGTCACGAAATACGTGATCGACTCCTAGTTAAGAAAGTGGAATTTTTTGTTTGGATTTCCTGGCAAAGTAAAAATTTACTTATCGACTCAGTTTTTTTTTCAAATTGGGTATTTATCAAACATAAACTGTTCTTGAAATTCAAAGAGCGTAAAGGCTATCTAATTTTTTCTTTGTAATTCGAAAAAAAAGTTTGTCCGATTGTCATGAAAATTTACATGCAGACTAATTAGGCCATGAAAAAAAAATTTGGTCTTCATAAATAACCTTGCAAAACCACTCGTTAGACCATAAAGTTCATGTTTGAGTGAGGTGGAGGGAAAGGAAAAAGAGCCGGTATTTGCTATTTTTTCAATTGCAATATTATCAATTATAAACCGAAAGCTTGATATCTACAAAAATTCGAAACAATACAGATTTATTGCCAGAACGCATAAATTATTTAGGATGCCTAGGAATTTTTGTGATCAATGTTGGGCAAAAACTTTTGCAGTTTTCAGGCGTTTAAGATACATTTTAACGCTAATTTTAAAATAATCCTGAAAACTACCGCGTGAATATGTGTTGGTAACGGACGTTGTCCGTAACATTGATATAGTTTGTCTTGAATTTTCGCGGATTGATCCCTCCCTGAAGTTCTTTCGTGTGCTTAACGCAACCGTTAATTCTGTTGGAATTTGCTCCCCCTCACACAAAAAATGAATCCAGTCTTTTGTCAGTAGCATTTTTAAATGAATGTGGTAGTTGTTTTTTGTGTCCATGAATGAAATAAAGACAGTTTGTATTTAATTTTTCAGAAAAATTACTTTAGTAAGATCTCATGACTTTGGTGTTTTTATGACTTTTGATTTTTATTTAACCTTAAATCCAAATTCAGTTGCTTGTAAAAACCAATACACATTTTTCTAACTCAAGTGTAAACTATCCAAAAAAACGTAAATGACTCAAAATTTTGAATGGTGTTTTTAAGAGTCGATGAACATAGTGCAGACTTAGGTAGTGATAGTTTTTTTTTAATGAAAAGACTCTTCTAAAATGTCATTTGGTACTGCGTTTGTGGAAGTTTGTAGTTTAATAAACACTAATTGAGTTCAATCATTTCGCAGATTCCTGCTAAACGTTAGACAGTTTGCGTTATCCAATTACAAAAACCTAAAGATCACGAAAAACGCGATCGAGTTCTAGTTTCTAAAGAAGAGTTTGTTTTTCAATTTCCCAGTAAAGTAAAAAATTAATCTACTAATCCGATTTTCTAAAATTGAGTTCATTTTATCAAAAAATTGTAAATCATAATTTTTTTTAGAATTGCAGTGAGTTTTAAAGTCATTTTTTTTTCTCTAAATTGCGAAGTTTGAGAATGTTTCAAAACCATTTGTCATTTTCTTTCTGTTTACTTGCATTCATTTTCTCGTTTCAGACGACTGACTATTGACTATGTTCAGGGGGGTTAAAAGTAGCAATTGTTTTACTTATCTGAACAACTTGAGAGCGAGTTTTTTGTTTTCGCGCTGAGAAGTGGGTCTAAAAATGCTATTGTACAATTTCTGTGAGAAGCGTACGTAAAAAATTAAGGTAACATTAAAAAAAATGTGGCTAGATTAATTTGGGCTTTGATTTTTCGTATGCTAAAATTGAACGTCTTTACAAAAGCAAAGCGTTTTACGATAAAATGATGCGCTATTTTTGCAAGCAGTATGCTACAATTAACGGCTCATAAGTGCTTTTGAGGTCGCTCCTTTGAATCAAGAGGCTGCATTAGAACGGTAATATTATGCAATTTGAATTTTGACTAATGAGTTTACACAGTTGATGCTTTTTTATTTCTTCAATTGAAGCGAGAAAAATTATTTGTTTCACGCAACAAAACAATCATTAAAACTTCATCTCAGTATTTTTGCAAAGTTATTGAAATGCATAGTTGATACAAAGATTAGCCTTGTTTTTTCCTAAACATTGCGTGCATATATTGTGTGGTTGCTTTTAGTTAATTACATTCCAAAATTTTACATGCACAATTTGTGTTTTTAGGCTTTTTAAAACTTGCTCAAATCTTTTGCTGCTTTCGCGCTTGGTTTGCAAAGCTGCAGCTTCTGTGTAAATTACTGGTTTTTTTTACATTTTCTCACCTTCACCTATTTTTTAAATAGAGATAATATCTAATAAAGCATTGTTTTTTTCGTTAAATTGTTTCTTTAAGAGTATTTGAACCTAGTGAAGAATCTAATATAGGTCGTTGATTTTTTCTAAGGAAAAGTCGTAGAATTAGCGGTATCTGAAATTTACAATTTGATCTAAATTTCTGATATTGGTTTTTTTTTTTTTAAAAAAACGTCAATCAAAAACTGTTCTTGAAACTCAAATGCATTTAAGGCATAAAATTGTTCTTCGAGTTTTGAAAATTGAGTTTTTTTTTGAAAAATAAGTCAGTTTTTTGTTTTCTTGCGTTCATTGACTCCTTTCCAACTCTCTTGGGCTATGTTTTCAGTTGTAATTAAAATTGTTTCTTTCAAGTTTAATGTAAGAAATGAGTGGACTAGGCCGCGCTCACTTTTGGATGTTTGACATTTGATTTCTAGGATCTACTTAACAATTGCCCCCTTTTAAGAAAGGAGGGGCAATTGTTAAGTAGATTAAAGTAACGCATTTTTGACCAATCAGATTGCAGCAAAATTAGAAATCTCATTACAAAGTTCTTGCGCTAATTTACTGCTTTTATTAATAGGAGTGGCAATTCTTAAGTAGATACTAAAGGGAGGGCGGTTGTTAAGTAGATGCGATTTCGATCAAAAAATTAACTGCTAAATACGGCGCAGAAAATGTAGCTTAATCTTAGGTTGCAATACGGTAGCTTTATTTAGCAAAATTTCGATCTTAAAAAACTTTTTGAATCGTAAAAAGCTTTCAGATAATTTTTTTTTCATTGAAAAATCTAAGTTGGTTTCTATGGTTCGCTGCTACTACGCTCTTGATTTGACCGATAACTATTTTTTTTATTTTCATAGGTAACGCAACCGGCTGTTAGACTTTTTGCCCGGCAAAAATTCCAATCCCGGAATGCAGCAGCTTTCTTTGTTTGCATATCAAGTTCCTGCTACTAATTTTGTCGGTTTGGCAGAGGTAAAGACGCTCGTGCCTGGAACGAAAAAAGTCAGAACTTGAGCCCAATCAGGAGTCTTAACTTAAAACTGAAAATGTTCTTCATACAAAATCTTTTGTTGGGATATCGGTTGACTGTTTTTTTTTGTCGGCCTTGTTTTCACAGTGCTAATTTTTTTCTTTAATTGAAGCGTTTTTACTATTTTGATTTACCTGTTTGGATGCAATTGATTGAGTCCCTACAAACTGAGCTGATTTTTTGTAATGAGATATAGATTTTTTAATTATATGACTCAACTTTCGTGGAAACTTTCACCCTCTATCACACATGGTTTTTGCATTTATAATGAGCATGTCAATTGAATTTTTATGATTCGAAAGTGCGACGACATTGTATGGATGAATTTGTTGTGCTTATTTTTTAAAACTTACCTTGTAATAATTAATATGAAACAATGCAGTATTTCCTTTCTAGACAAAGAAGAATATCTCAGAAATTTGCAGGCAATTTTAAAATTTTTGAAAATGCGTTGAAAATTCCAAAAATACTTATAAAATAGAGAGAACCTCGACATTTGGAGCAAAATTGTCGGAAAAAAATGAAAAATTGCCAGAACTACTTAAAAACTGGTTGATGTGCAAATTATCCCAGAAGATTCCGGCGTTGAGCATTTAATTCACATGTCTAAATCAGAGGTTTTTTCTTTTCAAAAATTCATTTTTTTCTCCTTTTTCAATCGCATTATTTCTGCCTCGTTTCGGTTCTGAGGTCTAGATCAGTTTCGGGTAGCTGGTTGATCGACAACATTTCATTTCATACCTAAACTAACAGTAATTATCGGAAATTACTAGTCAACAAAGTGCTATCGAACTGACATAAATCTCGGTTTTTAAAACCAGAATCCAAAGTCAAAAAATTTAAAAAAAAAACATCAATCAATCAATTTTAAAACAGCGCCTGAGCAACATGTGAACTTTGAGTCGATCTTTCAGTTTATTGATTTTTTTAGACACTGTTCTTTGTTCACCAGCAAATTCATTAGCTACCACTTTGGTTGTCGGCATTTTTTCGCCACATGGGGCAGGTCGAGCCGCTCGCGAAGCAAGCGCGAGCACATTTATCATTCTCCGAGCAACAGGCGAGGAGGGTTTTTATCACTAAGTTCTCCTGGTGGAGCCAGATTTTAAACTGATCATAATTTTTGGATGCGTTTTTCTCCATGCTGCCTGTGTGCCCAAGATAGGGAAAAGTCCTAAGTGGAAGTTGTCTGTGGAAACGAGTCCCCGGGAGAAAATTCACTTTTTTCTGGGAAAAATAGTAATTGAAAGGAA